AAAAAAAAAAAAAAAGAGTTTTAAAGTGCAAAGATGTGACGATTTCCTGTGGTGATATCCTGTCTGACGTAAATCAATGCACTCTTTTGAAGATGAGCGCTGCTACACTGTTGCCCGTCTTGCCTCCAAATTGGAAAGTGGGTGTAGACAACTCCTGCACAAACTCAAATCCTGTGAAGCAACACAAAGAAAATGCGCAAGTTATGAAATGTACATTGCAAAAAAACCTAGCAGATGGCCAGAATCTTTTATCATCTTCTGTGGTTTTGTTACTAAAAAAAAGGAGCAGAACTGAGTGAAGATCCATTGACCATCTGTGACGCTTCCTGGGGGGCTAGTGAAGACAGGCTGTCACTGTGAAAGATGAGATCTCAGAAAGTAGTGGGCCCTCCTCAGCCAAAGTGGACATTGCTCAACTATTAGGTGGAAATGACTTAGGACCAACTTAATTGATGACAGCCAATCACATTCAAAACATTAAAGAACACCCTCTTTTAATTGAGGAAAGCCACTTTGTGTTCTGCAGAGACTCCTTATTCAATCGCAAGGCCCTCTGGCCCCCTGCAGGCTCTCCAGAGTGACTACAATGAGGGAACAGATGACAGCTTATCTTACTGAAATTTTGACTTAACAGGCTCTTTTTGCCTGGAGCTTAACAACCTGCCAGGTAGCGATTGTGGAACTGTCTGTCTGTTAAATGAGAATGAGACGAGAAAAAAAAAAAGAGACGACTAAATTATACTGCCGCACACCCAAATGATCAACATGTTTTGGCAAATGCTTTAACCCATTTACAACTCAGCAAGTGTGCCTGTAGAGTCCCTGAGAACCCTAAAAAACAAACAAACATAAAAACCCCATAGAAAATAGGCTACTCAAGAAAGCTGAACTTATCAATCCTTTAAGTAAAAACAACAACCCCCCCCCAAACAAACGAATTTAATGTATTCCCTTTCTCATTAAAAAAAGAAAACAAGAAAACAAAACAGCCAAGAAGATTTTTGTGTGATTTATTGCAGCAAATTCTTGATCCGGGTTAGGTCATCAGCAGGTCAAAGAAACAATTCACTCCCTTATCTTAAACAATGTTAGGACTCGCTCATTAAAAAAAGAACCCCATGACATTACTTGAAGTTAAAAGCTCCACTAAAGTCTTAGTAAAGTGTTTTAAATACATTTAGATATTTAATTTATATTTTTTCAACACAAAATACCAAAAGGTGCATATATAATTTTCCCAATTCTCCAAGACCAGTGCACTGGCCTTTTGCAACACCATATAAAAAAATAAATAAATAAAAAAAATCAGGAAGCATTTAAGTAATATCAAGGTAGACTCAAAACTGCCACAGGAATTAATTAACATAATCCTTGGCTGCATAATTAAATGCGTGATCAAAGGTCAGGTTTACTTCAAGTGTCTAATGGCCTGATGTAACCCATTTGCTTCAAGGTTCAATTCACTCACAGATGCTCTTCTTCATACCTTAGCTGTAGCAAGTGGTTATTTGAGCTACTGTTGCCTTCTTGTTGGCTTGAAGCAGTCTAGCCATTCTCCTTTGACACCAACAAGCCAATTTTCTCCCAGGAGAACATCCACTCACTGGTTATTTTCTCTTTTTTTGGATTATTCTCATGAAATCCTAGAGATACCTGTGTGGGTAAATCCCAGCAGATCAGCAGTTTCTGAAATACTCACAGCAGCCCATCTAGCATCAACAACCATACCACATTCATAGTCGCCTAAAATCACCTTTCTTCTCCATTCTTTTTCTCCGTTAAATATAAGCAGCTCATCTGGATCATGTTAACATGGGTTGCTGCCATTTGACTGGCATTGATATCCGCATTTAACAACAATATGGCCAGTGAGCATGTACATATTTTTAAGGCGTTCAGGTCTTTATCATCCCGTCTTTGAAATTTCCGCCAACACAAAACTGATGTGACATTTAATACCAATCCTCAGCCATGATAACTCAGTGCACTCCAAACAGTAATGAATTTTTTCTCACCTTCACTGAATCTGTCAAGTAGCTGCTCTTTTGTCCAATTACAGGAAGTGATGGCAAAGAATCCATTATCCTTCAGAACATCTTTTAGGGCTTGGACATACTGTCTTTTGCCCTCGTTGGTGTTGACTGGGTTTAAGCTTATTGCATCAAATGTTCCTTTGTCGATACAGACGTCAAAACCTTTTAACTCCTTCGGACAACTTAAGAAGTCCATCTCCTAAAATTAAGAAAAAGCGAGAAGGTAAAAATGTAGTGATCAACACTACAGAAATGTGTACAGTTACCTGCAGAAGAAATCTTTCAGCAGATCACGAGATGAAGTGTGCTATACTTCAATGGTTTACTTTAAAACTAAATTCCAACTGTTGACATGACAGCACTTAATTTTGCTGAGGGTTCTGGCCCACCATACCACTAGTGAAAGGACTCCTTTATCTGGACAGATGGCTGAACACCAGATCTCTGGGGTGAGCTCTAGAGCTACCTACTCACGACACATATTAGATTTATGGAGGAGGATCAACAGAGATTCCCTGAGGACAGGTACAGCTATATACTGCTACAACTGACTTTAGTGTGAGTCTGTAAAATAGAAAAAAGTGGGAAGACGTTGTAGGAATGCGTGAAGGTGAAAGTGTCAAAGGAGCAGTAGACAGTGACTAATGGAAACTGCAAAGGGGTTCTGACATAGTTCTAAGAATGACCTCTGAGCGACAGGCACGTTCATACAACTTACGTTGGCAGCTGTGCAGAAATGACCCAGATGCCAACATACATATTTCTCTCTCACATACAACCACTGAGCCCTCCCCTGCACAGCTAAGGTCAATATTGACTTCAGTGGCAGCCTTTCTGCACAAGCAGAGCACGCAGCATCATAGGTGTGAAATGCATACAACATATATGCAACTGTATTATGCATGAAGGAGTGGAAAAGTCACTCATCACAACCCTTATAGACCAGCCAGCATTCATAACTTGTTTTTCTTGCGTGTATATGATAGAAAATGTGTGTTAAAGCCTGCCAAGTTATTTGGGGTATGAGGTTGGCAGACATCCACCACATTCAAGGCCTTCTTCCTATCCAACTCTCCCACATAGTAAACACAAGAAAGTTTCCTCCAACCTTCCCAGGCTCTAGGTTGGCTCACTGTATGCTGAAAACTATATTGTATTATTGGAACTTAGGAGGGATTCATTTTGTATCAAAGCGTGATTTGTACACTGCAGAAAAAAAAAAGATTCACATAGCCCTCCAAATATTTATGCAGAATCAATTAAAAGGTTTAAATGCTACGCTCATCATTGAGTGGCAGCAACTTAATGCACAAAATCCACACGTTTAAAATTTCAGCTATAAAGTGTGTTTGGCGTTACTGCTGGTCATTTCTGTGAACATGAACACAATGTATCATCTTCCTTACAAATTTAAATGAACTCCAAATCTTGACTGGACACACCTTTACAGTGACATCTGTCAGTTTCTCTGCCTGAAGCACACTTCTGGCCAATTCCACAGACGCAGGAGAATAATCTATGCCGGTCAGATTCTTGTATCCATGTTTGGCCTGGTGGGGGGAAAAGCAAACAAATAATAAATAAATTATGAACAGTTACAATAATAACCTTTGTCCTTACTAACATGTCTGTAAAGATATAAACTAAACAATTTATGTGATCTGGCCCTGCGTGTGCTGCTAAAAACAGGACATTGAGTTAGCTGCTTGTAAAAATACTTCAGAGGAAAAGCAACAATGAGAAAAAGATAAGGGATTTTCTATTAGAGTGGTACCAGAAGCGCCAAGTGTTAACAGAGGAAGGCATGGAAATGGGAAATATACATTAGTTGTAGATTTTTGGTTTAATAGCTGTGGATAAAATAGTTTGCAAAAGTCTCAGTTTCATTCTGGTAAGAAAAAAAACAAACTACAACTGGGTTGGATGCATTGTGATTAACCACAATTTTCTTGGAAAGCAGAGTTCAATCCCACTAGCTGCACCTAGTATGATTACTGTCAGACATGCTGAATCAAGAAATTACTCAAACAGAACCTATATGACTAAGTAAAGAAAGCTAAAAGGTCTCAAAACCCAAGGCATCATGCCAAAATCTCTGTTCTTGAGGGGATTTTTTAAAAGAAAAAAGTCAGTGAAAGTCACTGACATGTTTAGGTCTGGAAGGGGTCACAAACCAATTTTTTTAAGGTTTTGAGCAGATAGATGGGAGAGTTTCAAGTCAAAAATCACTGCTGAAAAAAAAAGATCACAAGAGCTTGTCTCATGTTAGCCAAAAATAAATAAATCTTGATGAATATTCTGTGGACTGATGAGAGAAATTGTAAACTTTTTGGAAGGTTTGTATCCCATTCCATCTGTCTAACTAACACAGCAAGTCATAGAGGGACCATCATAGCTACAGTCAAACATGGTGGTGGTAGTGTGATGGTCTGGAGCTGCTTTGCTGCTTCAGGAACAATGAATGGAACAATGAATTCTGCTCTTCTACCTGCTCAGGGAGATTCTCTGGCCAGCCAGCAGTTTGTGTCCTAAAGCTCAAACAAACATGGGTTATGCAGCAGGACAATGACTCGATGATTTGGAGTGGTCTAATCAAAGTCTGGACTTAAAACTGATTGAGATAATTTGGCATGACCTTAAGAAGGCCATTCGTGCTCAAACCCTCCAACTGTGTTCATTTAATTAAAAAAAAAAAAAAAAAAAAAAAAGGAAACGAAACGAAACGAAAAGAAGACTGGGATAAAATTCTCTATATTCATAGCAATATGAAACACTCATTGCCAGTTATTGCAAATGCTTGATTACTATTATTGCTGGTAAAGGGGGCACAATCAGTTATTAGGTTTAGGTGGCAATTACCCTTTCACATATGGCCAGGTAGCATCGTATACATAAAAAAAAACAAAAAAAACATAAAGTGTCATTAATTTTACTCTATCCATACCAGCTCAACTAAAAAAGCTCCATTTCCAGTGCCAATGTCAAGAATGGCAGCATTTTCTGGGATCTTCGCTTTGTCCATCCATCGCAGGACACGGCTCATGCTTTCCTCACCAAACCTTTTAAGAAGCCACAGGTTATTGTGAAGTGAAGCAAGCCATCAGTTTGTCTCAAGAAATTATTATGGCTATGACCACTGTGGCCAATACACTGCATTATTACCATATCTCACCAACATCTCCAATATCGTTGAACGTCTCAAGCTCTTTTTGGTATGCATCATCCCAGCTGCAAACCCCAACCCCCCAGATCATTTGTTAATACTATGGCATACACATGACATGCTGTTAGGTCAAAACAAATTACTCAGGTAGCTCAGTAAATAAATAAGTCAGCAGCATGAAGCTAAAAAGCTCGTATTTAATGCTTACTTAATCTATTCTAATTTAATGGTTTAAGTGTTACACATTTCTACTTATACCATTCGCTCTATCAATGGTTACCTGTAAGCTTGTAACTAAGAATTAAACCTCTTCATGCTCGACTGGATGGCTATAAGTTGTGTTTATCTTATAGCACAGTGGACAAAATGTGTAAAGTGACTCTGAGTGGTATCCGCTAGCTAACTGTGTAGCCTGACAAAAGACGTCCACCATCATAAATTTACGTTACAAACACTCACAACTCTTTAGTTCCGAGTTTGGACGTCCCAAAGTCATTTTCTGAGCATCGGTCTTCCTCGGAATCCGAGATATTTTCACAGCCACGCGTGCTCTCTCCGGCGTCTTCCATGCTTGTCTAGCCTGTCAAGACGTGTCCTACAGTTCCCACAAGACTTTGCGTCTAAACGGCGTGCTTCCAACCGCAGGGGTCATCGGGATTGATAGGGATGTTTCCATCATGGCGGCATACATTTCAGGTTATACTTTTAGTTCTGTGTGTTATCACAGCGCCAACAGCAACGCGGATCATGTAAGTGTTTTAAACTGTGCTTACAAACTGTCATGCGATGGTTGCTGAGACGTGTGTAGCTCAATGGTGTGTCTGTTCGTTCACCGGCGACGTTAGTTTGTGTTGTTTTTTTTCCCAGTGTCATCATCCTGTTGCTGGCTAGCTAGTATTGGTTCCGTCTATTTACCGGCAAGTATATTTAATCAGAGTGTTAAGTTTGGGCAACATGATCACAGGGATAGTAATCTTAAGGTGATGTCATGTGTTACAGTGGCAGAGCTGTAACATATACAGCCATAGTTTTGCCTATAAAAGAACACCTGTTATTTCTATGGAGGAAATCATATTGGGAAAGTTTAGATTCCAGGAAATACCCCGTACTACTTAGCATGCTAGCTAAGCTACCAAGTTAAGTGACTTCCGCGTATAGGTACTCCTAAAATTTAAAGTCATGTCGACCTTTTATTTTAAAGGAATTTGCTATATCCTCAAAACCGAGATAACGCCATAAATCAAAAAAACGGAGTTATACAAACAGATTTGTTTCTCTTGTTTCCGCATTGCTAGATTAGCTTGGTAGCCAAATCGCTGATTTTCACTCTTAAGTCACCAGTGTGTCTATTTAAACGGCTGGGATGCGCAGATTTGTTTTTCTTTATTTTCTTTAAGAACATCGAAGAAACGTCGTCGATGAGAAATGATTTTAATAGCATATGTGAAATAAGGAAACCAGGCTGCCGACAGCCTCTGTTCACATCCGTTCTCCTCTTTTAATAGTCGCCCCTGAGCAGGTGGATAGTTGCAGCTTGACTGGGCTGCAAGTCTGACTGCATTCCTGGCATAGGCAGAAAGAGCTGATTGTTTACCAGCAGCTGGCGCGACCGAATGTTCACACAGGAACAAAAAGTGTATTTGTTGTTTAATATTACAGGTTACAAGGAGTCTTTTAATTGCAGTGGACTTATTTCACAGCAGATATTTTGACATGTAGTCTTAGGTAAACACAGGTGTTACTAATAACATTTTGCCTTCAGGTTACTGAGGTTACCATTCTCACAACCTCGCATAAAAACTAAAGGCAACTGGGCCTGTGAAACCTAAAGACTGTTTTAATTTGTTTTTACTTGTGGTTCGGTCAAACCCGCCATAAATGTTTTCAATTTCTGTTATTATGACTGTTTTGCTGTTGTTAGAATTTAGTTATATTTGTAATAATTTTATTATGTTGCATGATTATGTAAGTCCTATGTTTGCAATTGGGCTTTTGAGACCTGGATTGCAAATGAATGTGCCCATAAAGCCCTTTAGGTCAACTTCTGTTGTATTAAAATGTGCTATAGAAATATGCTGACCTGACTTGATATTAATGACAGTTTATTTTCTAGAATAGAAGGTGATTAGTTACATGTGTTTACCTACTGTGAAATAGGTCTGGCTTATGTTGTTGTTTGCTATGAACAGTAGAAATGTATCAGATTCCAATTTTCAGCACATACAAATAAAAATCACATTTTCTTGAATGCAAAATATTGTCTTCATAATAAAACTAAATATGAAAGACTACTCGTCTCCATAATTTTCCTGATGATGCTTTGATTCTTTTATTGCTTATAGTGAGGCTGCTGGCTTGCAGCCAGCTCTGAGCACTAGATAATTTTATGTTTAGCCACTTTGTTAGCTTCTTTAAAATGACCATGTTCAGCTGGGTGAGCGCGATTTGATTAGGTTTCGTTTGATTAGGTTTGTTGTTGCAAATGTTTTTGCGGCGCTCCTCCAGTGGTTTAATTTGACAGACTTTTTTTACTCATTTTACCACTAATCGCATGTCAACATGTAGCTGACTTCAACAGACCAGCTTGAAGTCAGCCATATGGGAGGCTGAGAATGCTGAAAAATCTGATTCCTGTGTAGTGCCAAAAAGTGATTTCAGGTATTTGTCAAAAGCAAATGACTTGTTGACCTATATTCTGTCAAACACACTTGAAGCATATCTATTATATAGCGCTTTGAGGGCCCCAAAAGCGCTATATAAATGCAATCCATTATTATTATTATTATTATTATTGTTGTTATTATTATTATTATTTATTTATCCACATAAAAATTCTCATGGTGATTCTGAATGTCTTTTTCTGAGAGAGATCTGGCCAAGAGGGCAGCAGAAATTGCAAAAAATGTAATAGTTCTATAAAGATATTTTAAGTTGCCAAAGAGGACCGGATGATTTACTGTTTAAAACAAAGAATAGATACAATAACACGGAGTCATAGCGATACTTGTAAAACAGGTCATTTGTTTATTTTATGTATGACTCCTTTGTAAATCCTATTTAGTACAGCCTGTTCACCACTCTTAACAAAGATCTGGGCATCTCTAATGGAAGAGTGTTATTAGCAGAATTGGTAATCTACTGACCTTTATTTCACATGTGTTGCATTTATTACTAAATGACTTTTGACTTCATCATTTGATCAGATCATTTTATTTTTATAAAACATCTAAAAACAACAGGAGTTGGTCCAAAGGCAAGAATAGGTTAAAAAACATAAGGGGAAAAATGTAGAAGCTGTTTGGTTGATAATCCAAATGACTTTGAGTTATAAAATGGAGTATTACGTTTAAAAGCCAACCTATGGAGAATTTGAGGAGTAAAGCAGCATTTTTAAAATAATCAGGGAATGTGAACATTTATGTTTGTTGTTGTTTTTTTGCTTTTTGTTTTTTTGTTTTTTTTTGTTTTTGTTTTGTTTTTTTGTTTTTGTCAGGTAGAGACAAGCAAACTTATGCTTAAACCATTAATTAATTAGGAAATTAATAACACTACTTAACCACTATTCTGTGAAAACATCTTTACACAGGAGGGCTTCCTATTAGGAGATGTAAGGCAAGAAGAGACTGTGAGCATCAGTGACACACAGATCAGCAGCGCTGAACTGCTACAGGTAGTAGGTAAGCCCTGAAACAGACTAAACACTTTTGCGTTGACCGATTAACACAGGACAGAGAAGCTCACACATCACCGTTTTAAACCTCCTTCTCATGGCACACATGACAGCGGGAAATGAGCAGATTAAAATTAAGTACTGGTATTTCAATTGTCATGCTTTGATCTTAGGGTTTTTGTATGTGTTTTCTGACTCTGTCACACTGCCATGGCTTACTGAGAAACTTCCATTTCCTGAGACAGCGCAGGTGTATACAGACAAATGTTAACGTCCCTTTTACTAACTTGTAACTTTTATTGACTCCAAAACTAAGCTTATTTAATAATAATAAATGTAATTTAAAAATATCTACATTTACATCACATCATCCCTGCTAGGACATGGGATGTTTAAGGACTTTGGGGAAAAGGAAAACATTATGAGACTAATATTATTCAGCTGGACAGTCAGGCATTTTAAATTGGGGAAATCCTCTGTAAGGTGTTACTGAAGTTTTTTTTTTTAATTTTTATTCTTTGTTGAGTGGAGTTCTTAGGTTTACTGCTTCCTGACTTTCTACTAATACTTCAGTGTTTCTAGAAATGACAGTCAGTGTTCTTATTGTTTACTACATATTCTCATGCTTCTGCTTATTTTATTTTATTTTTGCTTATGATCTCCTCTTAAAGTATTTGGAAAAGCAAGCAAGTCTAAAATAATCAGCAAGAGAAGCGTTTCTGCTTTCCAAGGTCATGTTTGCTGTTTGTGGGGCCCTATAGACATTTGTTTTTGTTCTTATAAGTTACACGTGTCTTGTTGAATTTGATAAATACACCAGTGTCAATGACATCTCATTGATGTTGTTTTGTGTTATATATTTAAATTGTGGGTCTACATGTTGCCTTAAATTTGCATCACACTCATAAAGATTTGCATACATGATGATAAGTAACTAAAGAATCTTGTCACTGCTTATTTTCACCAGAAATCCATCACCATGATCCTTGTGCACAGTTGTTTAGGTAAGATATGACCTTTGTTCACTTAAACAGGTTTCATTCAGTGTTCACTGTACAGTACACAGTATATGTACTAGTTTTTTGTTGTAATAGTGTAGTACAGACATTGTTTCATCCAAGCTAACATTGTACATCAGCAATTCGGTCCATTAGGGGTTTAGGAAAACTTGATGTAAAACTTTATTGTAACACACGCTTAACAAGATAAGGTAGGTGGATGAATTCTTACTGTAACTCATTGAAACCACGTGTTATTGTTCAGTCTCATTTTCTCTCTCTCAAAAAAACAGAGTATGTACAGAGTAGCTTATGGTATTGACAGTTGGACAGTAGATGGCCCCATATGACAAGGCTAAAGCAGAGGAGGCGTGGGAACATGATGAATCCATTTAAAACCTGTTTCTTCCTCTCTCTCATCAGCTTTTATGACTACGCAGGTAAAATCAATGAAGAAAGTCTCAACAGCATTCTTAAAGATAGACGGAAAGTAAGTGAACTTTTTTTGTGAGACGACTGAATTGCTATGAAATGTCTTGTTACATTTATGCTGAAAGTAATCATAACAAATCCTATTTGTGAAATCATCATTGCATTGAGCTTAATGGCATTACACCTCCTTACATATGCATTTAACAAAGGATGTACAAGTTTCATAATGACCAAAAGTTTCTATTTTTGCAGACATACTATGATGTCTTTTGTTCATTTAGCCTCTGCACATACTTGGTACTTTGTCCTAAACAGGGCATAGAGAGGCTTGAGCACATTTTAAAAGAGTTGTTTCTGTGGCCGTGCAGAATGTCATTGGTTGGTACCGGTTCCGAAGGAATACGCAGCAGCAGATGTCGTTCAGGGAACAGATCATCCACAAACAGCTGACCCAGCTGCTCGGTGTACCCGACCTCGTCTTCCTTCTTTTTAGCTTCATCTCCACCGCCAACAGCTCCACACACGCACTGGAATATGTGCTCTTCAGACCTAATCGAAGGTAATGACAGCTTTTGATAAATTATTTGCCTTATCCACAGTTAATGCATTTCTGTGTCAATGGGATTGTATTGTGAATTGGTATCAGAAGATAATCTGAGTTAAGCTATTTAACAGAAAAAAATGGATTGGTGCTACTTGTTACTTCTGATAACAAGCTGGTGCAGAATGGACTTTTTAAAGATGTGTAAATGGCAAAATATGACGTGCAACATAGTGTTTATGTCTCCTGAAGAAGTTTTTCATGGTTTAAAAGCACTAACTGGTTATATCCACTCAGTAGGTACAACCAGAGGATTACACTCTCAATCCCAAACCTTGGTAACACGAGCCAGCAGGAATACAAAGTCTCTTCAGTTCCCAATACCTCACTTAACTACGCAAAGGTCATTAAAGAACATGGGTAAGGTCTGAATTACCAGTTTGTTTTGTTTAACTGTTTATCCTATGCCACTGGTAACTACCATTTTGGGGGGTACGGATTGTACAGCCATTTTTCTCCTATGATAAGAATGGGGCTGCAGCATCCACCTGTTTTTCACCTGATGCCATAGTATAGTTTACCCTTAAGGGCATAATTAGCAGCTAAATCCCAATGTGTGTATGTGTTTATGAAAGTTTATGGTTGACACTTTGTGCAAGTAGGATCAGCATATATTTGTTGGTGACTGCAGTGCAAAGCTGGTATGTGAAGGCCTGCACGTGCTTCATCTCTTATTTCTGTTTTTGTATCTAAACTTAGACCCTCTGTTTCTGCTGTGGAAGAGTACCGTGTGTGTTACAGGAAGAGTTTGGTCAGGCCTGTCTCTTCAGCTTATTCAGCTTGTACTTTGAAGAGTCAGTGGTTAGCTACGGTTTAACTTTACTATAGAAGACAGCAACAAAAACCACAATTTATCTGTGGTCTTGATTGATAAAATATGTAGGTTTTTGCTGTGTATCGTTTTGTTTTCTTGAAAGATGTGTTTGAAATCTTTTTTGGTGAATATGTCTGCAGGGCTGAATTTTTTGACAAAGACGGTGTGATGAAGGATATCCGAACAATATTCCAAGTCTACAGTGCACTACAAGATAAACTGCAGGTGGGTTGAATAATTCCTGTTATTTCACCTCAAACATTTTATGAACTTCTTTGGGCAGTAGAATATTTATGTTATTTTGTTCTATTTTGCATGAGATTAAATTTTTCTGATAAATTGTTTGCCCTATTTTTAGGCTGTTTGTGGTGAAGTGGAACAAAGTGAGCGTGTTAAAGAGAAAATTCAAGAGGAAGTGAACAAACTCAAACAACAAATTGCTCTCAGGAAACGCAAGACTGCAGAAGAGGAGAGAAGTACGTAACTGATTTGCATTCAGTATACTGGAATTATGTCATTAATATTTCAAATGCGTGCTGCTTTAAATTTTAGAACCACAAATTTGGGCTTAAACTTGGATGCAGACAGTGAACTAACATCCTGTAGATTATAACATCCTTTTAAGCTAGTAGCTAATAATGCAAAGCTACACATTCAGAGAAATTCAGTTTTAAGTTTTTAAGTTCATGTTAGACCAGTCAACAGTTAATATGCATATAAGTGGCATTTACATTTACCTTACATGTTTTTAATAGCTACATCTTTCTCTTTTCTCTGCAGGGCTCCGTGAAGCCCAAAATGCAGACTCCCATTCCACTCCAGAGGAGAACACAGAACCTTGTGAGGGTTCTCCGCTGTCTGGGATAGCTTTCCCCACACCCTCTGCTCCGGAGCGGCCCAGTACCTCACCTAACCCACCATCTTACACTGACCTCATGTCCCAAGATGACTCTCTCCTGCCCTCTTCTTCCCCCCCTACTAGTGCTGCTCTGTTACCCCGACCCCAAGCTGTGGGCTCCCCAGGACACCCTACCCCTGGCCCTACGGTGATGGGCTTGGGTCTTGGCCACGGGCTGGGCCTGGGCCTCAGCGCAAGTTCAAATCCCGTTACCACTCCCAGCACTCCGTACCTTGGCAATGGTGACGGCTCAAGCTCTGACTCGTTAGACAGACAAGCTGCAGGGCAGGAAGACGATGAGGAGGAGGACGACGAGGACGAGGACAGTAGCGAATATGAGAACTTAGTGAGCGAAGGTGCTCACCTGCCAATGGTCTCTGCCAGCGTTTTAGCTCAAGGTCGACCAGCTGCCCTCAGCCCTGACGGGGATGCTCATGGCTCGCAGGCCACATAAAAATTTTTTAAAAAGCCACAGGATGTGTAAGGGACACAAATATGTGACACACCTTGAGAGGTGGGCATCGAAAGCAATCAAAGATGGGCAAATACAGACAAAAAAAAAGTGCCAGTCCTGAAAGTGAAAGGCATGTGCAAGTGATGTCCAACTGTGTGTATTCTTGTCTTAGTCTGATCTCCATTTTAAGGGGAAACCTACTAGGCTTTGCAGGCTTAAACAGGTGCATCTCACTGGGTGAAAAGTCATTTGTCTTTATGTTTTGTTTCAAAGTGGGCCGGTTTTGATATTTAAGTGTGGCGTTGTTGGATTTCAGGGCGAGCAGTGAAGATTTAAACATTATTCAGGCCAACTGGTTGGCTAAGAGATTAGCCCATGCTTTCTGTATGTTAAGTGTATATCTTTTTGTTTCAAATTTGGATCACTGACTTTAAGCACCCACTCTTACATTACCTCTTGCACTATTTTTGTTTTCTTGCTTTCTTCTACACAAACCAACTATGAGAATGAAGGGAAAATATTCTGCGGCCTTCAAACAATTTTCAGTGAAGTAGGCAAATGGTTGTTTACTTTTTAATTTTAAGAAAGAAATATATATGTAACTAGAATTTATTCAATGTGCACATTTTGTCTTTTCGATTTTCAACTTGTTAGTGTCTTTTCCATGTTTCACGGTCTTTAATTAACCGTACTGTTGCCTATTAAAATAATGATTAGATTTCAAACAAAATTTACTCTGCCACTTCTAGGATGGGTGCTTTTATATATATATATATATTTTGTCAGATTAACAGTTGATCTTATTTGACTGACAGTGTCAATGTCTCGTTCTTCTAGGATAACACTGAAATTGTATGCGCTTTGCTGCACTTAACAAAATTTTAGATTTCTTTAATAATGTGCTATACCAATGCTGACATGTTGTGCCACTTGAGTAGTCCTCTTTGACCACCCTGAGCCAAAATTAGCTCAGCTTATTTGCATTGTATGGGGTTCACAGGGCAAACAGTGTACTGTAGCTTTACTAACCAGATGCTTATGGTTCCCTTCTGCTGCTGCATCACACACAGAGAGCTGCCACTAAAAAAGAAAAATTGCATCCATCTGTACTTCATATAAAAACCTGGCTGCTGCTTCCACTTTACAGTGCTGGTTTTCTCAATACTACTGACCATGTTTGTGTTCATTTAACCACTTTGAGCTTACTTCTTACTAATATGTTCTTTATTAAAATCATAATGGAATTATGGCTGGCACCCCTGTACAGTGTGAATTGCAACTTTGGGAACAGAGACTGAGCAATCACCTTCACGTTTTTGCATAGTTGAATGCAGACCTCATGTGTTGTGACCTGCCTGATTCAGTGTAAAGTATAAGGACCTGGTTTAATGTGATGAAAACATCATGACCTTGCTTCAGTGCCTTCCACTCAGGGCAGTTTCAGTCTGCACACAAAACACATTCACAGACCTCTCTTTGGGGGGAAAAGTTGTATTTAAAAAAAAAAAAATACTGTGTTGTGTTTGCAATAATCAACTTCCACATTTTTTTTTTTGTTTTTGTTTTTTAATTTTTATTTTAATTGAGCCTTGCAGTTTAAAGCATGCATTTCCATAATGTCATGTTTTGTCTCCCTGAAACTGTCTTTTCTGCTTCCCAAAGATGTTTTTTTCCCCCTCTTTTTACCTTTCCTGGTGGCTTCTGAGTGGATGTGTATCCTAATGTTGCAGCTGTGACTGCTTGCTTTATTATTTGAAACTGGAAACAAATGTAAAGTCAGAACGAATCTGTGTCACGACCTAGCAGCACCCAGGGCAAAGTTGGTGAGGTGACAAACAGCTTTTTAAACCTCTGGCCCGTTTGAGGACAGCCATAGTGAGAGTGGTGGGGTTTTTTGGGGGGGTGGGGGGTGTTCTCTAGACATTATTATATTAAGCATGGAATGGATGTTTGCACTGTTTGTGGAGGTTGTTTGACATAGTTAGGAGGTTGCACTCAATTTGGAAGAGATTTCAGGGTGGAGACAATTTGCCTTGTGAACAAGCTCTGCTTTATTTACACAGCCTGTTTTATGTCTTTTTTTTTCTTTTTCTTTTTTTTCTTTTTTTTGCCTTGGAGGCATTTGATTTGCCCTGATGTGTAATGCCAATGCATCACTGGTCAGGAACTGGCACTCAGAAATGTTGCTGAATAATCACCCAGAGTAACACAATCATGCAATGTTAAAAGAAATGATAAAATCGACTTGTTAGGAGTGTTTCCTTTGAGTACTGGAATATAATAAGGAAATAAATAATGAATGTATAGTAAACATGGGGGGGTAGCATTTAAACTGAACTTACCGTATGAGCTTGTCTCAGTTGAGTGTTGTGGTATCGAGCAGCAGTTCTCAGTCTTGGTCCTCACTCTTGATCCTGGTCTTCAAGCCCTAGAAAATTTGTTTTGTTTTTTAAAAACAAAAATCCCTTCTGCCATCCTATCATGACCAGATGGTCAGATAGGAAACCAAAAGGGCAGAAGACCACTGGTGTAAAGAGTGCGAGACCTAACATTGTTAGGATTGTATACCTTTTAAGCTCCAATACACTCATGTACTTACTGTATAGGATGACCTTTCACTTCCTCCGCCCCCAAGTGGTTCATTGCAACATAAACACCTCCCCAAAGCACAAAGTCCAGAGCGCAGATTAGATCTTCTTGGCTTTTATCTGGATTTGTGTACTTGACAATAGCTGACCAAGGACTTGCTTAGATGAGCACAGAATAAGGTTCTTGAACTGGGAGGGTAATAAATGAGACATGCATATGTGATATAATGCCTCTTTGTTTTGTTATTGCGATGAACAGTCTTCATTGAATGCTTTAAAGTTTCCATTTTTCAAAGACATTAACATGTAAGTGGGTGTAAATCCTCATACGTGCATTTTATTTGGATGCATTGTCTTTATTATGTAAAGAAAACTTTGTGCTTAGAAGAGTTTGGGATTTCCTGGGAAGAAAAAAAAGCTAGTCATAGATTTTAATTTTATTATTATTTTTGCATGTGAAAAATGAATTGGGGAATCATTAATTATTGTGGAATATAAAAATCTGCTTTGATGATAGGAGCTTCTCACCAATATCGTCACTAGTTTCACGCTGGGAACTGTTGATCAAGCTGTCATGCATTACTGCAGACTGCTTGCTGCAGTATTTTTTTACGATGACATCATCCTTTCGTCCCTTTTTAGGGGGGAATACCACGTGGTTGATTGCCAGAGATGCAACATATTGCGATGCATAAATTATAAAACAAACACATTTTACTCTGACTAACTAAGCCTAGCGACTAAAAGAACGGGCGCTCTAATGGCTCTTTTCGTTATTTCTGTGATATTCGAGTCTGTTTTGCTTTGACTGAGCCTTTTAACAATTGGAATGAGAGACGTAGAATGTGATTGGTCCGTGTCAAGGGAGACACATGAGTCAACCAATCGGCTTGCTCAGCAGATTCGGGTGGTAAATCCTGATCCTGCCTCTGACTGTAACACGGCCCAGAGCTCTCTGCTCTCCCTCGTAGTGTATTTTTAAGCCCTGCCTCGGTTGCTTCCCTTCCCTGTGCCGCCATTAAAGTCCGTCCGCTTGGTGTTTGTGGAAAACGGGAAAATGATTTAAAAACTCAGAAGAGACAGGCCGAGGGACGGGACCTGGGGAGGGGGGGGAGGGAGGGTTCTTGCTACGCGGTATGTGTGGACTGTCAACTGCCAAGTAAACGGCGCCCCCAAAAGAAGTAAATATGCGGCTAGTTTCGTCCAAGTGAGAGGAGCCTGAGTTCGGATTGGAGTTGGTTTCTCCGACCGGGGGTGGGGTGGGGGGAGAAACGCCATTGGTTTTGGCTGCACCGGGCGTGGGGAGGGGGGACCGAGGAGTGTAAACACAGCAAAGCAAAAGGTGAGGGTTACAGCGTTAAGACACCTTGTAGAGTTGATAAGGGCCTCTCAGACGGTTACGAGCAAAACATAATCCCGTAACGTTAGCGAGCCGCAGCCAGCTAGCTTGGCCATAAATCCTGGATGGCAACCGAGCGGTTGTTATGGAAGGTAAGTGACAGCTAGCTGGTTCCGTTAAGACACGACACAGCCGTACAGTGTCATTTGTTAGTTTACCACTACTGGCTGTAAATCAAACTAGTCAAATGCTTATTTAAATAAATTCAAGTATATTATAGCGGAGTGTCTTGACAGTTTTGCTAGTTGCTTGTGAGTACCAAAGCTACTTGACACAGTTGTTTTCAGAACATGCAGCTCACAAAAAAATGTTGAATTTCTCACTGTGTGTTGGTAAACTTGGGAGGCGTGGCGTAAACAGTAACGGGACTACAGACCTGCCCTGTCGGAGCCAGCCTTATCTTTTATTTTGGTGTTCATGGTTCAGAATACAGCGTGGGACACATACAGTTGGATCATTTAAGGTCTTAATTAGCTTTACGGCGAATTTTCTTTCTGTGCATAAGTCTCTTAACCAGTCACGCGCCTCCCTGCTGGGCGTCAGGTTTCATCTGTCCTTGTCTCTTATTACCTTGCCTGGTTGTTGTAGGGCGCATGTGCCTGGTGTATATAACTTAACTGTATGTGTTTATAGTCAGTGTTGCACTCTAGGCTGCAGTTTTGCCCTTGCACTTTGTTTTTGTGGGTCTCTAAACAATAGTTTGGTTATTACTACAAATTAATACCAGATCAAGAGTGGGCATAACTGTTTATTAAAATTTTGTTTGCCAGTCAATAATTTGAATACACAGGTGGCTGTAAATAAGTAGGCTTTGTTTGGGACATTTGGCAGTGTATTTTGCTCATTTAAACCGAGAAACAAGCTAATTTTTTTATCCCTTTACCTTCTTGAAGTGTTTGCCTTTGATTAATAAGATACTGTGGTTTGTCTTTTTTATTATTTATTTAACATATCTGTTTGGGTTTTTTCCCCCCTTTAAACCTTAGTGTGCTGCTTGCTGTGTGATCTCCTTGAGAGTGGATCTGCCAAGCTGAGTCCCTCTGAACGGCAGGAAGCCTCCCTTAGCGGCGGTGCGACGATGACCGAGCTGGTTGCCAAGTGGGCCTGTGAATACTGCACATACGAGAACTGGCCGTCAGCCATCAAGTGCACCATGTGCCGCGCTCAGAAGCCCAGCGGGGGTGCCATCATTACTGAGGAGCCCTTCAAGTGCAGCCCTGCCCTGGATGCCAGTGTGCATCAGTGGGGCCCTGCAGACCTCAGCAACAGTCCATCTCAGGGGGGATCTAGCTTACTTATTTGTCCAGACTCCAGCGCCCGACCCCGCATTCGCATTGCTGACGTACCTGAGCCTAGTAGTAAGTGGTCGTGCCACATGTGCACCTATCTGAACTGGCCTCGAGCTATCCGGTGTACTCAGTGCCTGTGCCAGAGGCAGCAGGCTCAACAACAACAACACCAACAACAGCATGGGCAGCATGCAGCCCATCAAGGACATCATACCCAGCAGCCACGCAGCCCCACAGAAACACCCCAGACCTCAGGCTCTGGATGTCACCCCTCTCCCCCAACCACCACTACAGACACTTGTGAGGAATATAATGACCGTAACAGGCTCAACACTCATACACAGCACTGGACCTGCACTGCCTGCACTTATGAAAATTGGGCCAAGGCTCTCAAGTGTGTTGTGTGCGATCACCCCAGACCCAATAGTCTGCTGGCTGAGCCCATCGAACTGGCATCGGAACCTGAGAGTCAACAATCATCCTCAAAACTTGACCAGGACAGGGACAACAGGAGGGCTGTTGTTGGCCACATGGTTAGTCAAGGAGTAGGAGGTGTGGTGGGTGGTGTAGGGAGTTGTAGCAGCAGCCAGAGGAGGTCACCGCCAACGTTAAAGCGGGAGTCAGAGGTGAACATGGACTTTCAGAGGATTGAACTGGCATCAGGCGCTGGGATTGGGAGCAAAGAAGATCTTGAGGTGGATTTCAAAAAACTCAAGCAGATTAAGAACAGGATGAGACGGAGTGATTGGCTGTTCCTCAATGCTTGTGTTGGTGAGTTTTTAAGGATGGATGACTTCACTGAAGTATGTTTGACTTGTATTTTGCTTATGTTATGAGATGGGCAGTGAGTCAAGTGAATAATATAAGGCAAGTTAACACCGTGAAATGACATTTTTCCCAAATTTGTGTGAATGATTCACAGTATGTTGCTTAACAACCTGCAAGGCAACTATTTACTAAGCAGTTTATAGAACTGTATCTAGATTATCTTGAATGTAATCTTAACATTGCAGACACACTATGTATGCTTGGAAGTCCTCTGTATTCAGCTAGTAAAAAATTCACTATAAAGACAGCAAGTGTCCTGCCACCCACACTGTACACTGGCGAATGCAGAGTGGGAGGAAGGATGCGCATTGTAGGAACAACTAGTTTTTGCTTTTTTTCCCTCTCTCACACCACTGTCTTACTCTTTCTCTTGCCTTTTTCATGGATGAGTAGCGTTTGTTCTGTATGCCCACTCAACCTCCCATCTGTTTTCCTTATCTGTCCCTCTGACAGTTGATTATTCTGTGTTATATATACTGTGTTATATATGCACAAATTTGACAGTCATCCCTGCATTTGGTATCGCAATGAAGTCCTTTTAGTGATTAAAAATTGTGCCTTTTTTCCTGCTATATTCCTCAAAAGCAGTAAGAGCAACATCACTGCAGATAGTTTGTTTCTGGCTCTGCTCTGGGTCTCTTGCTGCATGTCAGATGTTGAATTCCCTCATGTCTGTGTCGCTTGTTCCCGTGGGACAAAGTCTCATCTGGTCAAAAATTTCTCTTGCAAGTAGGCATGATTTTGTTTAGGCTTATTCAAGTGTTAACATTCCTTATCTGATTGGAAATGTCTCCTAATTCATTCCTCTTCTGTTAAAGGAAAAGAAATCAAAGACATCTCTTTAAATTCACTCCCTATTTGGCAGGTTCACTAGACATACTTCGGAAAGTTTTATATCAATATCTGCCTCATGCCATCTGTTCTGATCTGAGGAATAATATCTGTGTTTATCAGCACAGACATTATTCTGTGTCTTAGAACTGCTGCTCATGTGGAACCACAGACACATATTGTTTGTTTTGTCGTTAAGGTGCTCAAATGCTGCACTACTGTTATACTGTATACTGGTATACTTTTAAGTATAAAATGATGCTTTACAAAGCTTTACAAATTAATACAACCTTTGTCACTTCAGTCAGCATTGACACATCAAACCTGCTTTGGATAACCTTGGGCTATGTTCAGCATGAGTTCTACAGATACATGCTATAAAGACGGCTGCAGCTTCTGGGTCTGAAACGTGAAGCCTCTGCAGATGTGCCGATGTGCCTTAAACCTGAGAAGCTTTTCATACCCAGCAGGACCACTTCTATTTGTTGCCAAAAAAGTCCACTTGTATAGAAGTCTGAATATAGAAGAAGAAGCCCTCAGCCCACTTTGTGATCTCGAGCATTTTCTTGATGACTTTTTGGTTAAGTCACTAGATTTGGTTAAGTCACTAGATTGAAGAAATTTTGAATAAAACATGAAGCTCAGTTTGTAAATTATGGTAGTTATTAGACACAGAAATGAGGATCATCCAGGGCTATCCCTATTGGTTAATGATTTGTTAATCTTAAATTGTTAGCCCATTACTCTACAGTGTCCTCACTGTCAGAACCACTCCTTGCTTGTCAGCTTTAATTAGAAAACATTTGAAAAAAAGATGGCAATGGTGAAAACGCCCAGCTTGAGACTTGAGACATAACAGGTCTTCACTAACAAATGGGAGACGTCACGGTGGTTATGTGGTTCTACATCAGGCCTGGTCACGGGTTCTGATCCTGCATGAAGCCAGACTAAAGCGTTAAATATGAAATAACACGTCATGCAAGAGTAATAGAAATCACATGTTTTTAAGGCTGCATGTTTTGACAAACAACATCTGTTGTGCTGCCAAAAATTTTTGTGAGCTGAAGTTCATAGACATACACCGATCAGCATAAAAACAATAAAATCACCTGCATAATAATATGTAGGAATCCCCGGTGCTGTCAAAGTAACTCTGTTTTGAACATGGACACCTCCTTGGGGTGTCTTTTGGCATCTGGTACCAGAATGCTCACAGCACATCCTTTGGGTGAAGTGCATAATAGGGTGTGTCCTGAGCAACACTGGAGTAATTACTTATAATGTTTTGAAAAACCTAAAACCTTTTCTTACTTAATTACTCCCTGCAGAAAGTTAATTTATTACATTACTCGATATGTTCTGCAGTACTGTACAACATGACCTGAGATTTATTGTCATATACGGTAATTCGAATGTACAGTCCCACACATTGACACAAATCCCAGTCCTAAAGAGGATCTTTCTTTTAGTGTTTTATGAAAAACAGCCCAAAGAGCACTTCACAAATGTGCTGTGGCCACGGAGAGTCTACTGTCGCACCAGGTATGGGTACAAGCCCGTCTGCTCATCATAGCTTTTATTATTTGTTCAAGCTTTGGCTAATAGGCTGGGGTCAGCATGCACTCTGGATCCAGGGTTCTTCACTGCTAGCTTCATATGACCATGCCATCTTTGCTGATGCTTACAAAGAGACACAAAGTTGTATTAGCAGTAGTGGATAGTTGTTTCTGCCACTTTACAGTAACATTCTTGTCCTTTCATGCATTAAAAATGAAAGTAATCTGAGCTCTTCAAAGTCTGTAGACCGTTTTCCTACAGAAGCCAGTTTGAATAGTTTATATAATACAAGTAACAGCATAATTGTTGATTAGGGACTAATGTAATTATTGAAATTAGTACATAAATGCATTATATTATTACAGAAAAATGTAATGTGATTACAGTGATGTCCTCTGTGAATTGGGATGGTTCTGCTGACTCTGCTTGCTGATGCTCAGTCACATAAGGATGATGAGTTCAAGTCAGTGCTGTGAAGTTTGCCATGGTCCTCAAGCCACACCTGCACATTGTATTTTAAATAGATTGTTAATGTTATTCACTTCAGATTGTCACTGTCAGTAGTTTTAATGTTATGGTAGAATAGTGGATGTGACAAACAGCCTCTCACAAAATCAAACCTGTGATGAAGTGCTGGGGGCAAAGAAGTTAAAATTTCACTCCTATAGTTTTGAAACTGTGGTCACGGTTTCCCAATACCTAAAGTTGTTTACTGAGGAGCCTGATGCACTAAAATTAGCACGATCCATGTAAAATAAGTCAAAAATAGAAAATGCCTGTGGCTGTAGAACTTACCGTCACTCTTACAGTGTGCATGACCCATGATCCTTAAACTGAACACGTGTGGCATTTGTGTTGGTAAATAAACAAAATGCTTAGTATTATGTCATTAAATACCCAGAGGTTTTACTAGAGAACCACGCTAATATAGGCAGGATGTGGTTTGGCATCATCTTCCTAAAATAAGCAAGGCCTTTCCTGAGAAAGGTGTAGTCTGGTGTAATTTTGAATTACCGGCACATTTACGGTTGTGCAAAATACTCATGCAGTGTGCGTAGATGCACCGCCATAACATGCTGACATTTAAACTTTTGCTTACTCTCTCTCCTCTTTGACCTGAACTTATTTTCTTGTGTTGCTGGCATCAAATTCAAAATAACCATACATTTTTCAGAATACTGTTCCTCAGATTTACCATTTGATATATTGTTTTTGTTTTGTTTTTTTAAATTATCAGTTAAATAGGATCCAAATGATTTTACAAACCATCACATTCTGTTTTATTTACATTTACACATTTCAAATTTCTTTATTTTAGTAAAAAAGGGGAGTGCTCATACAGCATAAAGACTTGGATCCTCCTACTTTAGGAATGTGAAAGGAAACAGGTGCATAGTCAACAGAAGCCAATGTGAACACAAGGAATGTGCAAACATCAAACAAAATCATGTCCTCCTTTCCCGGTTGAAGGATAAAAGTAATAATGCAGCAATATTTCCACACATTTATACATTGTTGCTATATATATACTTATATAGTTTATGATATAGTTCAATCAGAACATTAATTTAATTCAGTCTTTACCGAAGTCTCATTGTCAGATATGGACAATATCTATCTATATGGACAGATTTTCCACAGTAAGGGTCCATCTGTAATGTCTCTATCTAGATGCAGTTGTAATGATGGATTGTTTTTAGTTCCCTTAAGACCATGAATATTAATAATTTTATGGTATTCTCTTATGTAATATTTACTCCAAGCTGGCATTAAATATATGAAAAACAACAGAAGTGTATGCAATGAAACTGTTTCTTAATGCCTGTTTTTCCACAGTAGTGTTGAATTATCAGAATCAGAATACTTTATTAATCCCGAAGGAAATGCTAACATTTGTTACGATGCAGCATATCACAATGTTTATAAATCATATTGTTATATTATAAAATGCTAAAACAATGCCAACTTCATTGTTTTGGTTAGGTGTGACATACTTAGGGATTGTCTTGCTAGCCTTTCAGACAAAAAGCAGACTGGTGTGTCAATACCAGCAGGATGCTCAATATAATGTCAGACTACTACAAACCTCATTCAGGGCCATCATTTTGATATGTGATTGCAGGGAAAAGCCAACATGTTACTATTACACCAACAGTAACAAAACAATACACTAAGAAATGCCACTTAGCCAACCCACACAGTACAGAAGAATTTATTACTATAAAATGTGTTTGTAAATTCAGTTGGGCTTTATTAATTTGTGTTTTTCTTTTACTTTTACGTACTTTTTTCAGCAGTGCTCCTGTTAAATAAAGATGTCTAATATGTCCAATCCAGGTGTCCTTGAACAGGAAGGTATGCTGACAGAATATTTACTTCTTCTGTTTTTCTCTCTGAAGCGGCTGTTTAAACAGGAAACTGTACCAATCACAAATAGACTTTGAATCACCCACATCCATCTGTTGATTCTGCTATGATGGAGGCGCCCGCTATCACCATTATTGAAATGTGCGTCCTTTGTAGGAGAAATAGACAAGACAAGAATCACTTAGCCTGATCCATTCTGTCTAATTAGTCTGTCTTTAAGTGTATGTCTGTTTGCATATTGGAGCCTTTTGTGCTCACCAAAGGATCTGTGAGTACAGTACTGACTGCAGGGCTACAGGCACACCCACGCTAATGGAGTGTTTTTTGGAAAGTGGTTTTGTGATCCTTCTATCACGCTGCGCTGCTATTGTGTAGTTTCTCTCCTCATCCCTCACCGCGCTAGCCAGCTCCACATGGCACAGCAAGTCCTTCTACCCACTCCATGTCTCTCTCGCTCTCACTCACATGCAGATTATGCAGCTGAGCATTGTGTGTGGTCCTTTGACGCGAGAACAAAAGCGCAACAGTGTTTTAAGCTATCAAATGTACGAGAGACTACCACATGAGAATTTACTGTATACGCTAGAAATGGGAAGAGGATATTTCTGTGGCTGCTGTCATATTTGAAAGAAATTTACACTTTTATTTTGTTTTCATTACTCATAAAAACACATTTAGCTCAATGTTTTACTCTGCTTAAACTACTAATAGGTTATTTTGTCTCACTGTGGTTGATCACAGAACTAGAGGCTTGCACAAGAGTTATTATAGCTTTGTATTTTCTATCAGTTTTTACCCCTCAGCTGCAAAAGGTTGATGGGGTATTGTCATCACCCTACAGGGCAAGCGTACAAGTGGCGTGGACACCCAAGTTTGTGAATGCGATAACTCGAGAACGAGACCACGTAGAATTTTGAAATTGATACCAGAGGCGCATCTACTAGGAGGCTGAGGGATACCAGTACTTTCTTTGTTTTTTTGTAGGGTTAACTTTTTGTTTTCAGTTCCGTTTCAGTATTGGTTTTTCTTATTTAAATGTAGCATTTATTGTATAAGTGTTTTAATTATGTTTTTATATTAATTGCAATGTCAGGATTCGTTTGATGATTATAATGCTGATAATAATTTGGCAAATTGTAAGATTTACGAAGTTCAGAAGAGTACAATAATAAAATTCAATATTGCAAAAATCAAAATAACAAAGACTAAAGCTGAGCACATTTCCTGTTCCTGTTCCTGATTTTTATTTTTATTTTTATTATAGCTATTTTTTTATTTACACAATAATGTTTGAGTTAGTTTTTTTGTTTATTTTCTAAAATAAAGCTTCTATATAAATGTTCTTCACAATCTAAGAGGTATTCGGGCAAGAAGCTCATCACACATTGGTTTGTTGCTGATGGTTGGCTGCTAACAGGTGAGCCTAGCTCCGGTTGCCTAGGTAACCCTTTACCATATTTACAGCCCTGTGATTTGTCAGTTAGTATCCTTCGCTCTCATTGGTAGCCACTTCAATCACTCACCTCTAAGTTCTCTCCTCGCCACATCGAGATGGATCGCTTCTCCTTTAATTTGAGCTTTTTCTTTAGTTTAACTTAAACTTCATTAACCTTCCCTAACAAAGGATGTGAAAACCAAATATGTCAATTTATTTATTTCATTCTGAGCAGAACGTGTTCATAAAAGTCTCCGTCAACTTATATTAAAACATAAAGCTGACTATTAACAGTTCATGTCCGCAAATCACGTGTGTGAGTTCATGGACAAAAATGTAAATTATACTATAACTCAATTTGCAAGTAAACATACAATTTTGCAGTGCTTCATTGCATATGCAAAAGTTAATATATAAAAAAAATCTGCTGGGTTTTTTTTGTTTTGTTTTGTTTTTTTTCACAGAATGACTCTTCCTGCAGTAGTGTCTCATTAGCTGGTAACTATTTGAGTTTGTTCTCTGGAAGTTGGTTGTTTCATTTACACTTTGCACCAGAAAAGAACAGACACACCAACAGCTGCTCAAACATATCCATCAACGCTTATGCTACAACATAAACATGAAGATTAAGGAGGTGAAAAAAACATCACACTCTGATGATCACACTCTGCCCCCTGATGTCTTTTCCCCTTGACTTCAAAGTCAGCAAAGTCTCAAAGCTGTCACAGCTGCCACAGAGATAAAGCACATTCAGATCTCCAATATTTCATATATTTTAGTGTAGTGTAAACTGACCTCTGCGCAAGGTTGTCTTTTTATGTCTCTGCTGTGTTAAGACTTGGTGTGATTCGACTGCATTGGTCAGCACGTCTGCTCATTTCCTATTTTTTCCACAGCCAAAAGTGGACTGTTAAAGCATTTATTTTTCTCAGCAGAGCCTTTTCATTTTTATATTTTAAATGTCTTCATGAAAATGATTGCCAGTTAAATGCACAAAATTTGTGCTAATGTGGGGCAAAGCAGGAAAAAAAAAAAGGTCTTCTCTTCAAAACTGTGTCCACAGTGATCACTTGTTAACATTGTTTATTGATGGGAGCTTTCTCCTTCCCCCTCTTTGTCTGAAAGGTGTTGTAGAAGGTGACCTGGCAGCTGTGGAAGCCTACAAGACATCGGGAGGTGACATCGCAAGACAGCTAACGTCCGACGAGGTGCGCCTATTAAACCGGCCCTCAGCATTCGATGATGGCTTCACGCTGGTTCACCTAGCCATCCGCTTCCAGAGACAGGACATGCTGGCAGTGTTGCTCACAGAGGTCAGTGCAGACTTGGTTCGCTTTCAGAAATCACCTACCCTAAGGTATCAACTTTCTGAATTATGTTTGTAGATTATCAAAGCACTAGACCATATTAAATACGTGACTATATAGGTCATACTGTAGATGATTAATTACAAGACGCTTTGTCGGCTGGGATCTTCATGTTTAGCTTTTAAGTCCTTGTAGCAGAAATTGTGGTGCCCAGTTTGTGTCTGTTTTCATAGGGCTTCAGCTGCACAGAGTAAAGGATTTGGGGATCTTGCCTGAAGTCCTTCAAAACGGCAGGAGCATAGTTGGCTTAAGTTGGCATTTTAATTGTTTTTAACGCTCCGTTTCACTTCACTACAAAGGCATACTTTGTATATTATAACTTCTGTGTTCTTTGTAGGATGTACTCAACTGTAAATGATAGTCTGCAAAGCTTTGCATATAACCAACACACAACCATGGTGGTCTCTTTTGTCTGTACAAGTGTCCTCGAAGTGCTCTGCTTTCCTCTCACAGTCCAAAAATATACCTGTTAGACTCACTGGCGATTTTACAATTAGCTGCAGTTGTGAATGTGAGAGTGTGAATGGTTGTCTGTGTCTGTGTTAGCGCTGCTTACATGTACTGGTGACATGTTCAGGGTAGGGTTGCACAATTATGGCCAAAATGGTTATCACAATTGTTTGGATCAATAATAAGATCACCGTTATCTACTGAATTATTTATTGATTTTAGCGACAAAATGTTTTATTTATAAATGACACTACCCTACACTGCTCCTTTATTTCCGTTGCATTGTTTTGCTGCTTGATGATGGACAATTCATACTAGCAACCATTTAATTATTTTTCTTGGCCTTCATGTATTGATTACACTGTAGTTAGTGGTGTGTTTTCAGGTGGTTGAATGGGTTAGTTGTGTTGGTTTGTCGTGCAGACGCAGCTCTACAGGACTCTTTGAATATGGTTCATTCTTGGTTAATACCACTCGCCCTAAATCTGAAATATTTTCAACCAACCAATGATGATCCACTTCTGGGAACAGGTTCTTCACCTTCTGCTGTGCCAGACACTTAATTTTTGTTTTGTAGTTTTGTCATTTTAATGTAGTGTTATTTGTCCAGGCTACATCCAGGAAACTTAATGCTGCATAATACAGGGAAAACCACTACGACTGGCACAGGCAGGCACGTCATCGAACTGTAATTTAGGGAGCGCTTGATCTGGTTTTTCTTTGTATTGTTGAAGCACACATTTTCAGTGTCTGCTGTTTGTGTTCATATGTTTTGTGGGTAGCCAAAATCACAATCGTGATTGACATTCGATTTATTGTGCAGACCTAGTCCAGGGTGTACCCAGTCTCTCACTCAGGCTCAGCTGGGACAGACTCATACACCCCATGCCCCTAGCTGGAGATGCGATTAAGAAAATGCATGGATGGAAAGTAAAATTAGGCTCAATCTAAAAAAAAAAAACAACTTTTAATTAGATAACACCTACACATGGATACTTTAAATAAATATTAAATAAGAAAAATACTATTGGTTGAGCTCTTCTACTCAACCTAGTAAATGTAGTTTTATTTCTGAATATGAGTATCTGCATGACCCCAAAATTGGCTTCAAGCTTCTTCTCCTACTCTCATTTAGTGAGATCAGCCAGGACAAGTCCTAGGACCAGAGTGTTTTTAGGAAAGAGAGGGACTAAATTCAGCTGCACACTCCTGTTCCACAAACTGTATAATAATATGTTCCTCTGTCAGTAATTATTTAATAGCATTGGTATTATATGTTCAGCATCCTGGTGTGTCTGTGCAGTGAGGCTCGCTGAATTCATGTGTGTCTGCTTGAACTGTGCATGTGCTGACGTTGATTGCACCCCTCTTGCCTTCAGCACTGTGATCCCGGATTATCTGTACACACACCTCTTCACCCACACTCAGCCGCTGCCCCAGTTTCTTTTCCAACAGGGTTAGTGAGTAACCACTGGATCATGTCTCTGAAACGCCCCAAAGCTGACACCTGCGTGAACTTGCTGTGTCCTGGAGGTGATTTAGATTTGATTAGTGAAAGTAAAATTAGCTCAGAACACAGTGAGCTAAGTCTTCTGCCTACAGACCCCAAAATGAATGACTTTCCCAAGTATTCAGACAGCGAATGTGGTAGAATTTGTTTAAATGGCATCTCCAGAAATTTACTAGGTTTATTTAAAAGGAGAGATAAATCGGATGCTTCACACAGTCATAATTTTACCGCTTTGCTCATAATCTCTCTCTTCATAGAAGGTTTTGGTTTTTCAGTCTAGGTAAGAATATAAAAATGAACTGACTTCTTTTCTTGTTCTTGGCCTCTCTAAATTGACATAACGTATCAGACAAAAAGGATTTGTTCAGAATAATCTCTCCAGATCTCTTTATCTTAACTCCATCAGATATTATCAAAGTCAAGTGACTTTCAGGGCGCTGAAGCTGTGACTGTTAAATTTTATTCTTCTTAGGCCTCGGTGGAGCAATGCATTCAGTTGGTTTTGCATTAGTTTGTGGTTTTATGGTTCTTTGTAGTTACAGGAAATGCTCTTGCTTTTTTCTTATTCTGTGCATCCTGTACGCTTTATGTAGATTTAAATTCTCTCTATATATGCTCTCCTCTCTGCAGGTATCCCAACAGGCAGCCAAGTGTATTCCAGCCATGGTTTGTCCCGAGCTAACAGAGCAGATCCGTCGTGAGGTAGCCGCCTCTCTTCACCAGCGCAAGGGAGACTTCACCTGCTATTTCCTCACCGATCTAGTGACATTCACCCTGCCTGCAGGTCAGCACCGCATTAGCAGACAAACGAGTAAATGCAGCCAGAAAAAAAACAGTTTACAAAATATCATAACATAAATTCCAGAAGCCTTTCAAAGTGTCTGTAGCTGAATAAACCCAGCCAAGCCATTCCGTCTGGCTTTCCGAGTGTGTATCAGAATGCTTGTTTTGTTTACTTCTGGCGTATAAGATTGCTTGTTGCTCGATCGCTGCGGGGACATAATGCCACGGTCGTCTGTTTCCAGCTGCCACAACATGGAGGCTACATTGTTTGTGTATTGTAATAGCAAACTGAAAATACCACGTACTGCCAACTATGCACCAGCCATGCTTGACTTTCATTCATAGCAAAGCCATATTTAGTGTTTTGCCAGTGTGTTTTGGTAAAATTGCAGGCATTCAGTGCTATTTCTGTTGAATTGTACTGTGTGGAACTGATCTAGTGGTTCAGTCTGAAGCTGGTAGCTAAGCTAAGGATTTTTGTTTTGCAGAGTGTTCAGGACATGCCGACCTTGGCTTCTGGCCACTATAGAAACCCATTCTGTTCAGTTCCACTAAGTCAATGCATTCATTTATTTTAGCTAAAGAATAAGCTACTGTGCTGAGCAGAGCTCAGGGCAGAGAGTGAAAGCCACGGGCTGTTGTGAAGAGAACAAAACATGGTGGCTTGAGTTGAAATGAGTCAGAGCAATTTTTCTGTCATTTTAGTAAAGTTTTACAGGTAGTTAAAACAAAGATGCACACATCTATCGGGGTAAAATGTAAATCAAACCAAGACCTGCTCCTATTCCTCTTCTTTGTGTTTCAGACATTGAAGACTTGCCTCCAGCAGTTCAGGAAAAACTGTTTGATGAGGTGCTGGACCGAGACGTACAAAAAGGTGGAAATATTTACTCTTTTCTGCTTTATGAACACATATCACATGCTGTCCTCAAGTATCCATGCACTTATTTTTAGCGTGTGAGAGAGAAACCAGATCCCCTGATGGTCTGGCTGCTTGGCACACAAGGGGAGTCCCCTCACAAACTGTATACTATAACAGGGAGGCAGCAGAAGGCTGGCTATGTTGTCTAACTGGTATTTTCTTGCTTGCAAACAGTTTTTTTTTTCTTCCTGTTTGTCAATCTGCCAAGCGCTCTCACTTCAGGATATGTACCAGTTGCCTTTGTCCTAATCAGCCTAAATGAGTTTTAGGAATTTCTTTGATCATTGCTGAATGATTGTACTTCCTTTCAGGTCACACATAAACGCTTATAAAAGCCGTCACCTTTCTTCCTGAAGGTCCCTGCTCTTTTGTGTAGCCTTCTCTGTGGTTCACCGTCTCAGTGTGTGTCAAACATTGTATTAGGCCATACAGTATCTTTATTTCTGTCTTTATCTCTTTTTAGGTTTCCTGTCATAACCTGAGCCTTAGTAGTCATTTGGTTTTGTGGTTTACAAGCAGACATTGTTATGTCACTACTATTTTCACAGATGTGAGCAGGCATTAGCTAATACTGAAACACCGTGACCACTGTACAACCACACTGTTGCACTTCCTTGTACAGCATGTTTCCTTATTATTATCGTTATTGCTTGAATTTTATTTTATTTAATTTTTGAAGAGATATCCTGCCGTCTCCCCTCTTGTTTAGAACTTGAAGAGGAGTCTCCCATCATCAACTGGTCCTTGGAGCTGGGGACTAGGTTAGACAGTCGACTTTATGCCCTGTGGAACCGCACAGCTGGGGACTGCCTCCTTGACTCTGTGCTGCAGGCTACGTGGGGCATCTATGACAAGGACTCAGTACTCCGCAAAACCCTCCATGACAGTCTGCACGACTGTTCTCACTGGTAAGGCGACGCCACGGGGATTAAGTGTGTAGTTCGAGTTGATTTCCACTTGTCTTTTAAATCAATTCAAATTATGTTACATTGAATGACACAGTGCACCAAACATAAAATTTAGACAGGTGTTAACAGAAATTGTAGCTTGTATGTTGCTCTTTTTAATGACTAGTAGTTAGGAGACAACTTAAATAGGCAAAAAAGCTACATTTTTTTAAGTACTATAGTCTGAATAAACAGGGATATGTTTACTCTTAACTTATTGCCGACAGACATCCCTGTCTCGTCCAGTGTTTCCTTTTTTTTTGCTTAGCTGACCTTTTTACACAGAAACATTCGTGGATCATGAAATGACTGAGCTCAAGTGCACCACTGAAGGAAAACAAAAGCTTGACTTTCAAAAGTGTCAAGTTACATTTTGTTTTCCTTCAGCGTGTCTATGGAACATGTGGTTTAGAGGCCGGGGTCTACGAATCCTAAGTTTAGATTGGCAGCTTATAAAGGGATCAGAGACTTTGATCTGGAAATAAGAAACAAGGGCTTTTTTTTATTTTATTTTATGTCCTCAAAGATCTGTTATGACTCCTGCATCTTCTTAGTTTAATTGGAAAACCCCCCAAAACATTCTCTTCTTTAAACTTCCACATGAAATTATTTAAGTTGCACCCTGAATCACGAGTGGCTCCAAAATGATTGCGATGTTCCAAAACATGCTCATAGGTGCAAGTGTTCAGGCAGATGAAAATTGAATGCAGGCTTCTGGTGTCAAACTCACATAAATTGTTCTGTACACGAAAGAGACAAGAAAAAAAAAAAAAGAAAACACATTTTTGAGTGGAGGGGCACGGAGTCTGACTCCAAAGCCCAGCGTGACTCACGTCTATTTGTGAGAAACAGTGGGTTTTTTGGTGAGATAATTGCTGTTTAGATATAATGAGTAATGCCATCCAGCCCAAACCACGACAGACGTGGAGGAATGTAGTCAATTGCAAGCCCACGCCTTGCTGCACAGAGGTCAAATAATGTCACAGGCTAAACAGTTTGTGTGCGTGTGTATCTGTGTGTGTCTGTGCAGGTTTTACACCCGCTGGAAGGAGTGGGAGTCGTGGTATTCCCAAAGCTTTGGTCTGCACTTTTCCCTCAGAGAGGAACAGTGGCAGGAAGACTGGGCTTTCATACTGTCCCTTGCCAGCCAGGTACATGTACATGGAAGTAAACACACTCACACACAAACATGGAGGACAGGAGCTTGATGTGCTTAAAACGTGACACGCTAATAATGCATGAATTATGCAAGAAGTTTTACTGCTCTTGGTGCAGTATACTTAACCTGTAATGCCCTCTGAAAGTGCATCCTGTCTGTCATCAGCACTTCTCTGCTTCTCACTGCTCTTTGTGACCTCACTGACTAAGTATTTGGGTGGGCTGTTATTATATCTGGGTGTGAAAGCTCATTAAATTAGTGTTTTCCATGTTTTCACATTTAGAGTATCCTGGCTGCATTCAAGAACCCTCATTTTATCGCTTCCCTGAGTCCTAGAGCATTGTTTTGTATTTTTCTGACTTTGTGTGTGTGGTTTTTTTTTTCTTTTGCAGCCAGGATCCAGCTTGGAACAGACCCACATTTTCGTTCTTGCACACATACTTCGTAGGCCTATCATCGTCTATGGAGTAAAGTACTACAAAAGTTTCCGTGGTGAAACACTCGGGTACACCCGTTTTCAAGGTGAGCAAGAAATAACGTTTCGGTCAAATATTGTTTGCTGTTGTGCTCAGCATCATTCCAGCGGACGTAGAACTAGACTTCCTTTGTGAAATAGTTCCAGCCTACGTGTGTGTGTGTGTGTGTGTGTATAACTTTCATAGGTGACATAACTGCCCCTCTGATCCGTCAGTAATTATTGTTTACAACAGTTATTAGTCTAGTGTCTTTCATTTAATGGGTAATTTTGCTCCATGTTGCTCAAAATAACAAAAACAACATAAAATGCCAGGATGAGTCACAGGAGCACGGAGAATTCATATTGTGGTTGTGCAGACATCCAGATACAGCTGAACATATGAAAATCATCAACAGTCAAACAATCCTGAGAGCACCGAGAGCGGGGGCCACCTTTACAACTAGCAGTAAAAACAGTCTGGATTCAATTTGCCTGCTGAGTGATGCTGTACAGGGGATGATGAAAGTGCTATGTAAGGGCCAACTGCTTGTGGTAAAGCCTGCCTGATGGACCAGTGATTTACTGTTGCCAGGAGCCAATGTATACACACACATACACACACACACACACAGAGGAAGGCGTGCTTATGGGCGCCTATAGAGAGGGGTGGGGTACCTCAATTAAAGTGGTGAACAAGTGAACCCAGTAAAACCACAGCGGTTACTAGGAGAGTAGCAACACACAGGCTCCTCAATAGCGGTGTTGGTTACAGATGTATTCATGAGATGCGAGAGCTGCCTTTGTGTGTTATGGAACTAAAGAAATATGAGACACTCTGTGTTGTCATCCTGCATTGTTTTGTTTTATAATCAGTCTGGTATTTGCAAGTCAGCATTGACTGTTGTGAGACATTTATTCAAGCATTGCTTTCAATCCAGGGTAACTTTGAGTGTTTTAATTTCTGCTGAGCTATTCTTTCACCCTGATGCATGTCAGCACACAGTGTTCTCATAACTCTTTCTACATTTGTTTGTGAGGGTTAGTTAGTACCTACTCTAGATTATAATAGCTTATGTAAAACAAAGTCGTGTATGTGAAAAAGACAGTTTGAGAGTGAGAGTACCTCTATAAAAGCACATGTTCTAGCAGTTTGCTGGTCTGAAGCATTCAGGTATGTGTTCAGACAATTCCACAATCTTCCCAGAAGTGGTCAGATGATGCCCCTCTCTCCTAAAAAGAACAGAGCTTGGGTTCACAGTGTTAGAGCTAAATAAACCACAAGACATCTGGAACAATGTCATTTGAACGGCTGAGACCAAGGTGGAGATGTTTGTCTATAATGCACACAACCACATTTAAACACAAATGCCTCATATCAGCTGTCAAAGGGGTGCGCTGAGAATCTGAATGACCGTACACTAATCACCTCAACAGTGTGACACCAGTGTGTCTGCTGTGTTGAAACTACAATGTGCAGAGGGTAGACTGCAAAACGTGCATCTAAAGTCACTATAACATATCCTTACCGTGTTGTTGTGAAAAATATCAATTCATTACAAAAATCTGGATTTTAAAGACGAGTCAACATCTAGAGCCAGACTTGCTAACAGTCAGCAGCAGTGCAAAGCTTTCTTTCATCATTAAAAAGCTTCTGGATTTACTAAAGAGGCACAGTGTCAGTTTTGTGACTGCCAGTTGTGGATAGTGCTGTTTTTGCAGCTGACCTTCTGGCATATGTGTTTGCAGGAGTTTCCCTTTGAAGAGGAAAATATCTCAGTCACTCGAGCATGATTTGCTAATGTTCATGGCATGCAGTTTTACTGCAAATTCCCCTAAATCGAACACCAAAAAAAGCCTGTTCTGGTTGTGATCGCTGCTTCTAGGAGTGTTTATTTATTTAGACTGAGAGGGGGAGATTTTATCAGAAGGAGTGCCTAATTGGAATTTTGGTTCGATGGCTCAAAACTGTGAGTACAATGCCAACACTTTGGCTCTGTCCTAAAACTCTTCACTTGAGCATTTAAAGCTGAGCCCAACTTACTTTAATACTGGGATTTTCATGAAACAAAGCAGAAATTAATTAACTGAGCTGTTTATTTTTCCTCAGCAGTGTGCACACAGTGAACGACTTCTCTCTGCTATTTCTAGAACAAATAAAAGTGTATTCATTAACAGACAGACGGCTCATTAATAATTGTAAATAGTGTTTGTGTACGTACAGATCTCAGCTTTATATGGTGGATTAGTTCATAACAATGCAGCTCTTCTTTGAATAAATCCCGAGCTCCACCTGAGTCTCAGTCCTCAGGACCTCATGCACATTTTAATCCTCCTTCAGCCTCCTCTTGTTGACCTAAATGGCATTTTCAGAGCGGAACGTGTAAAACCTGAGCGTGCGCTGTATTTTGATTGGTAGGTTTGCATCAAGCTCTTCCTCAGCTTCCTCATTGGGTCTGCTCGTTTTTGAGACACTAACCTGCACCGCTCACCAAAGAAGGCTGATTATTCCCCTGTAATTGTGGCATCACAGTAATCACTTTGTAAATGTGTGAAATTAAATGCATCATGTTTTATGTAGTGATTGATTGTAAATCCTTCCCTCCTGCTTGTTTAGAAGTTCTATGACTGAAGCAAAATATTCTCCATCCATCAATTATCCCAGCTGACTCAAAGTAAAACAGACCTTACTAATGCCCTGGAATTATACAGAATACACTTTGATAAATTAGTTCATAATCTGGATTTAGAGATCAGACATAGAGAGTGCTTGCAAGGCTGGATGAGAAGCAGATTTTCTTCCAGCAGCATGATCTTCAGAGTCTAGCTGTGCATTTAACAGGTTATTGCTGAAAATACAAAACAGATTATGATATGAAATGGAAAATACATGGTCAGATGGTCCATCGCAATGATCCTTTCATAAAAGACAGCCCCAGTGTATCCTATCCTAAAGGAGGTAGTGAAAGTGTTGAAACGCCTTTGGAGAAGTCAAACAGCTCCTATTATGGTACTTCCAGTTTATGTAATTCGGTTAGGAACTTAACTGAGCAAAATGAACTACTGGAAAATGCACAAGCTGTTGCAATGGACTAGTAAAAGACCATGCCAATCTCCAACTGACTACAATGTTGTGGGTGGGATCTTTAGAGAGTTGTGCATGAACGAATGTCCACAAACTTCTATAAAATGAAACGATATCTGAAAGGAACGTGACCTAAAATTCCCCCACAATGATGTGAGAGATGGATAAAGTCGTAGGGGAAAATATTATGTCAAGTTATCGCTGTTACAAACCTTTAAATCATGAGGTGTACTAAGTAGTTGTTTGGATCTTTTTTGTTTTCTATTTAAACGAAGTACGTCATAATTCATCTTCTCCTTGAATCATAACACCAAAATAATTCAAAATATTCAAATTAAATATTTTAAGTTTGCTCACAAAAGTAGTAAACAGATGTGCATCCTTTTTTGTCAGCGTTTCAGACTCTGCTGCAGTAGTATAGTAGTCTATTTTTTATATATTTGTACAGTATATATTTATGCAGTACCAAAAGATATAGTATAGTGAATTTGTGTCTTTTACGTCCCTCCAGGTGTGTACCTGCCTCTTTTGTGGGAGCAGAGCTTTTGCTGGAAGAGCCCCATCGCTCTGGGATACACGCGGGGCCACTTCTCAGCGCTGGTGGCCATGGAGAACGATGGCTTTGACAATCGCGGCGCAGGCGCCAACCTCAACACGGACGATGACGTGACAGTGACGTTCCTGCCTCTGGTCGACAGCGAGAGGAAGCTGCTTCACATTCACTTCCTCTCAGCGCAGGAAGTAAGGCACTCAACAGACGTGGTGTTTTTCTACTTTATTAAGTGGCTGCATTATGCTCATTTACAGGTACAGGAAAAGACTGTAAGGACAGATGTCGCCTGTATGCTTTCCATTTTTCTTTTTAGCTTTTCACCTGCTTTTAGAAACTACAAAATAAATTGCTTAGACTGTATTTAAAAGATGGATGTACCCATCATGATGTTACCCAATGATTTCTGGACTCCAGATTTTGGAGCCTCAGTGTGAGTGTTTTGGCCAGCGCTGTTAGTTGGAGGAGCCAGAAATGGCCACAGTTAGACCAAAGGGTGGAGAGTTGTTATCAGCTGGTTAGTGTGGTGCTTCCATAAACTATATGTGTGCACCAAACACACAGAGATTTGCTAATTAGTAACACTGAAGTTAAGTTCAGTTCTTTCTACAGCATAAAAAGTGGTATGAAAACACAGTGACCCACTTCCAGTGTTGTTTACTGGACTGGTGGCGGTGGTTCCTCTGAAATACAGCTTTGACGTAGCTGTGGGCAATGGTTAAATGATCAAAACTAACAGCAGCATAGCCACACAGCGTTTAACATTAAGGATTTAATTACTATTCCAGGGACGGTGCTGCCAATAATAAAGAAATTCACTCAGTCTGCAGTTCCTCTGGTGTCAGACGTGCAGAAAGGAAAAAGTATCTGAGGAGTTAGCAAATGCAGATCTAGCCAGTAAATAACAATGTCAGACTTGGAGCTGCCATTCTTTGTTTGTGGGTGTTAAAACTCTCCACTAGAGGCGTTATGCAAATGTGTTACATACAGAAAAGCCGTGAAGGGAAGAACCTGTGATACAGACTAGCAGTTTCAGGAAGTTCAGCAGCAGGTAGATGTGGTCTGGACCGTGTCACTTTGTAAGCCTTGCTTCTCTTATTCTGTTCTGAGTTACTGTTCAGAAGGAGTAAGCGGTGTTTGGGCTGTAGTGAGGTGACAGGGCTCCCTCTGATGGTCATGTCTGTCCCCTCCTGTCCTTCAGATGGGTAATGAAGAGCAACAGGAGAAGCTCCTGCGGGAGTGGCTGGACTGCTGCGTGACAGAGGGCGGCGTTTTGGTTGCGCTTCAGAAAAGCTCCCGCCGCCGCAACCACCCGCTCGTCACTCAGATGGTGGAGAAGTGGCTGGACGGCTACCGCCAGATCCGCCCCTGCGCCTCGCTGTCCGACGGCGAGGAGGAGGAAGACGACGACGACGAGGAGGAGTGACGAAGCTGAAGTGGAGGGAGGCTATCTGCTGGGGGGCAGGACTCCTCCCCCATCCTCTCTCTTTTAGTTTTTCTTTGAGTTGGGGATTTTTGTTGTTGTTGTTGTTGTTGTTGTAGTATCCACCCCCCACCCCCCTTTCCTGACACGGACAAACTGTGAAAAATCTTCAGGAGAGGGCAGGGAACCACGAGCCCCCACCAGACCTCCACCTGACAGAAGACACTACTGCTCTTCTGGCAAACACAGGCGCTCGGATATACACAAACACTTTTCTCAGACCAGCCTGAGTCTAACGGAGAGAAAAAAGATTTACGAATGCAAATTTTTGATTTGAGTTTTAAATGTAAAGGAAGAAAAAAAATATCTTTATCCATAGATGTAAATGCATGTGGTTGTAAAAAACAAACAAACAAAAAAAAAGAGTGTAAGGAAATATACCAGCAGTGATTCAAATACTTTATATCCATTCAATATGGGCACTGGGGAAAAAAAGAAGCGCACATCCAAGTTTTTTCCAGATAAGAGTTGGCTTGTTTGGCTTTTTGTTTTCAAACAGGCATGGACAAAGCCAATAAATCTTATTATCTCCAGAAGATTAATGAAAAAAATGAGATTCTGTAATCACAAATGACTTTAATCCTTAATACTAAGCACTGCACATTTATTAAAACATTTCTATATAAATACAGTATCATTGCTTGAATTGAGGTCACATATGAAGCTCTTGAAAAGGGAGATGTTCCCTTCACAAGTCAAATCTACACTCACTAAGTTTTAGCGCACTAACGTTCATGTTGGATCTCTTGGTTTACCTTTTTCAGACTGATTGAAGTCGTGTGTGTGTGTTTTATCTTCTATGAATTTATTCTACATATTTATTGTTTGGAAACTTATTTGAGCTAATAAGAGCTTTCTGTATATTATTTTCTCTCTTTTTTGTGGTTTTGTTAATGATTCAATCTTGATGAAGACACATTGCACAGAAACACTGTTGCCGCGAGGAAAGAACCAATCATAACCATCAATGAAAAAGTTTACTTGGGTTTCTTGCGTATGGTTTTTAGTACCTCATATGGATGCCTAAAACCTGGTGCTTTTATTTTTTCTGGGCAGGTGAGTGTGGACATAACCCCACCCCCCACCCACTCTGAGTCACGCTTGTCTAATCGCTGTCTTGTAGCTCCTGTTTGCACCCACCTTCCTTACAGCCTGTGTTGTGGAGGTCACCCTCATGGTACACGTGACATCGCTGCCTCTGTAAAGCCCGTTTGTTGTCATCATGTGAACCCACTTTTATTTGATTAGTGACAGATTTCAACACGTAAAACCAAAGCTGACAGAAAAAGAAAAAAAAGTTGTTCCTTTCTCTCTCTTTTTGCTGTGAGTGTTTGCATCTTGTTTCCTCTCGCCATCGCACTCTGTAACCTCTTTGTGTTTCATTCAAGTCATACACGTTTTTGAGCATCACCTGTATGTTGCTTTGTATTTATGCAATAGTTGCAGTTGTGACTACGATGGTTTGTGGATTTAGGCGTGACTTCGCTAAACAGAGTGTAACACAAAGAAATGGGCAAAAATAAGGAAAAAAATTAAATAAAAGAACCTTTTTGAATGTCCAACTAAAACGCTTCCTGTCACTTCATTTATCAGCTAATGATGTCCTCAACATGTCCACGGGTTTAAGTGTGTCACTTTTTTTGTATTTTTTGTATTTTTTTTTTTTTTTAAATTGGACCTACTTTCTGAAGCTTTTGTCATGTGTTCAGGTTACAGCGCCCTCTAGTGGAACTAAAACCAGGTGAATTGAAGGTCCATCTTAAGTTATTGTAGTTTCAAATATAAAGTTTCCATTAATTTACAGAAAACAGTTAAAAGGTCAAACTCTGTGGTCAAATATGAAGGAGCACATAAGGTCTGGTGGATTAGATCAGAGCCTTATGTTTGACACCCCTGTATCAGAGGGTAGTGGCATGTGTAGCATGGGGGGAGGCTAACCTGGGTACCATTACTGGATGCAAGCACTGACTGGGATTTGAACCCCCGCCCAATTATTTCAAAGACCGTAATGACATAACAGGAACTTAAGGAACAACTGGAGCAGATGTGGAAAGTCAAGTTCAATGTGATCCCAGAACCTTAGAAAGGCAGAACCCATTAAAGTCCCAGGACTCGGATCGAGGGCCCAAGCTTCATTATCACAAACATACCACCCCCCAGGGGGTGAGAGGAAGATTTCTTTTTTTAATATACATATAAACGCATATACATTATGGGCTAATTTGAATTTTGCACTTAAGATAAATGGATTGAAGTGAGCCATGGCTAGAACCTAGAACAAAGTGACAAGCTGTGCAGCCAGAGGAGACTGGCAGGGATATTTGGACAATTTTTATAGTACTTGAATGTTTTATCCCTTCACTGTTCACTGTTTGGATGAACAGTCGGTGATTTAGGGAAAAGCAGTTTCAGGCAATACATCTAACACTGTGATGGAACTGTGACGGCAGTTACCGTGCTTCTGTCATAACAATCAAGAAAACAATTTTGTTGAAATTTGACAAAAACTGTAGCGTGATCACAGTGTGTCCTTTGCTCTCCCCTTCATATCTACCTGATCGTAGCAGTTGGCTGGCAATCCCTGAGAGCGCTGCTGCTGCAGTTTTCTTTCTGTTAAAGGGAGTTTTTCCTTCCCACCATTGCCAAGTGCTTCCTAATACAAAGTCATCTGACTGTACAACAGTAAGGTCTTTACCTTACAATATAAAAAGCAAACCAAAAAACCTTCCACGGAGCCAATCGATCAATCAGAACAGTAAGTTTTATTTATTGGTTCCAGCTGCACTGTATGCTATATGTTCACCTTGTACAAGAAACAAATACAAATACTCACACTAAAAACCAAACAATCTGCGAGCAGCCGCCTCTTGCTAACGTCACGGGGCTAAAGGGAATGAACGTGGCTGCCGTTGTTCCGAGAGGGCTCGGCGCCTCCGAGGGCGCCACAGCTGGCTTTCATTAGAGCAGAAAAACAAGGAGGAAGAAACTATAAGGAGGAGAGGACGCGGTTGGTCACATCAGACTACGATTATATGAACATTTAACAAGGCAATACAAATCTAACAGGAGTGAAAAGCTTGAACATCAAAAAATGTACATTTGATATATAAAAAATACCACAATGGAGAAAGACGTGGAGACGTGAGGAGCAGTAATCAAGACCTATTTTCTTTTTTTAAACTTTTTTCTATTCCTTTTTGGACAGAATTGAAGGTTATTATATTGTTCCTGAGTCAGTAAGAGATTTGCTGTTTTTGTTTTTCCAAAAGCTGTCATACTTCAGAAGCTTTTTTCTTTTTCTCCAAAGGTCCTTTGGATGCAAACAGATAATATTTGGGACACTGTTCGCCACTTTAACTAAATAAAAGTACCTCAGTTCAGCAGAGTTTGGAAAAGTTACAACAGGAATACATAATTTAAGTGACGCGGTCCATGTACGATATTTAACCATGAAAGCCTGCCATTTTTTATTCTTTATATTTCCTCCTTTTTGGTTTGAAAGGATGATTTTTCCACATCTACTGCCCCGCATCCCATCTCTTCACTCAGGCGGCCTCTAGCCGGCAAAGATGGAGTGCAGTTTGTTTTTCTTTTCTTGTCTGAAAACTGTAAATCTGTTCATTTTCACACACTGAAGAACAGAAACACAGTAATATAGGATAAAAAGAAGAAAGTCTAAGAAAAACAAAACAAAACACAGGGTATGTTTGTGCTGAAATGGGCGCGACTGAAGGAAACAGGGTCGCCCTGTTGAGCTTGAGGGGAGGGTTTCCATCCTGCACGTGGCTACTGTCAACGTGTCCCATAAGTCAGGAGGAAATCTCCCTAAAATATACTAAAACAAAAAGTATTGTGTAAATCGAGAAGGAATGAAGATAAAAGATATGAAGGGAGGGGAGATTTCAGATCCGTGCGGCAGCTCATTTGTGTATTAACGTCCACTGTCCTCACTTAGTGGTTTCACAAAAAAAAAAAAAAGAAGAAGAAGAAAAAGTGTGAAACGTTGCCCGGCAGGCAGTCTGCTGGTAGGTTCGGATGGCTGAAATCAAGCGTACGTATAGTCGGATGGTTGAGTTGTTAGGTCGCTGGGTTTGTTTGTTTGTTTTTTTAGTTTACATCAATTTTTAGTTTCCTCCTCTTCTCAGCTACAGCAGCAGTCCTACGGCTCAGTCATGTGCTCTCTCATGGGGTCGCCGTGTTTGGAGGGCTGGTTGGGGGAGGTGGCCTGTGACGGATGGGTGCCAGGGGGCAGGGTGTGGGCGATGGGAACTCCCCCGGCAACCAACCCCTCCATAGGTCCGGGAATCCCACCGGGGGCGACGCCCACCACGCCAGGAGGAAATCTGGAGATAGATAAAGCGTGATCAGCAGATATGTTAAGGAGCTAACCTTTTAATAAGTGTTATTTTTCCACATTTTACACTTTTTTTCTCCATAAAAAACTAATATTTGTTACTCAGGATCATTTCTGTATGAAACTGCATGTAAAAAAAAAAAATCATGATTAAAAACGTAATGTGAAATAAGTAATGCACGATGACGCACTGAGGATGCAAATAAACCAACAGAAACTTAACTGATATGCAGTGAACTTACTGAGTAACATCAGCTTAAAAATGTCCAATAATGGTACAAGTGGTACAGGAGCATCATCCTGGGATTAATGTCATGGTACTTTGGGGCTACAAGTGCATACAAGTGGTGCCAATGGCTCTACTTATTAAAGAAGCTCCAAGCTTTAACTTGACGAGGCCAAAGGCTGTTTATTTGTCGTTGGTGATCGGGATCTGAAAGGATTTGTTTGACATCATTCACTGGATTGATCGGAGCAAATGGAAAGCCCAAGGAACTGAGTGAAGATCTGAGAAAGAGAACTGCAGATTTCTACAGTTAGAGTTGGAATTGTCTAGTGAAGTCATTTCCAAATAACTGCAGATTATTAAGAGCATCAACATTTATGGATCAGAACTTATTCAGTTGTGTCACCACTTTGCTGAGGCCTGGAAGAAGACCCAAATTGGTCAGGATGTTCAGAAAAAGCCCAGGAACCACCAAGGCTGAATCCCACTGGACCCAGAAGGCGTTGACTAAGAAAGAAGCTCCTGTGCAAAAAAAATGGCACCTTCAAGCTCGACTTAAATTTGCCGTTGCCCACACAGGATGCAGAATGGCTCCTTAAGAAACGTTTTATGATCAGACGAGACACAGATTGATCTTATTTGGCCACAGTGACGTGAGGTATCTTTTAAGAAGTGAAGGTGAGGCTTTCAACATCACACTCTGAAGCTGTTTTGCTGCCAGTGGTGCTAGAACATCGAACAAACCGGATAGAATAATGACGGAGGAGGACGACCTCCAGCATTACGCTTCTGGACTGGCCTTCTGAAAACCATGTATACTTTTGTGTGTCTTAGAGAAAATCCAAAATCAATTTAAACTGGAACGTTCTTGTTTTGGCTTTTTTTTAAGAGTCATTAAAGATGCACAATGATTCCAACCTGGAAAAATAAATCTTTAAAAGCCCCAAATTACCATGACATTCATGCTCATGATGAGTGCATGTACACTTCTGACCACAACTCTAAATGATAATGTCAGGGGATCTTATCTGAACTAAAAGGGTCATTCGCCCAAACTACAAACAAACAAACAAACAAACAAAAACCCCATGACAACAACAAAACAGGAGAGATAGGCTGCGTTCACACTGCAGAGCCTTAGTATTCAATATGGATGTAATCAGATCCAGCTTCTTTAAAAAAAAAAAAAAAAAAAAGTGGCTAAACCTTGTCGGGAATTGTCCAGAATGCAAAAACAACCATTTTTGAGGTGAGTGTGTGATCCATTCAGTTAAATTAATCGGTTGTGTGTGTGAGATTAAAGATTAAATTAAAGATTAAATTAGTGCTGTCAGCGTTAATCTCGCGAACATGACGTTAACGCCATAAACGCATTAACGTCCGTTAACGAGCTAACCGCGCTAACGCCATGCAGCCCCACGCACGGGGCGATCTGCGTTAACTCACTAACAGAGAGTTAATCGCGTTAATGCGGTTATGGCGTTAACGTCATTTTAACGAGATTAACACTGACAGCACTAGAATAAATATAAAACAGAATTTAAACGTAGGCATGTAACATAGAACAACAAAACTACTGTAGGAACACTAAATAGCCTCATATCTCATGCCTGAGATAACAGTAACATTTAAATGTGAGTTTCTCTCTGTAGATAGAAATAGATTTCATGTAATTGCCAACTTGACCTCATTCAATCACAGACTTGATGAGAGCAGGCTGACTACCTCTTATGGCAGGTTTTAGTGTTGGCTGTGCTCACCGCGTAGCAAAACACATATGGAAATGGCCCTAAATTAAACTGGAAAATATCTGATTCTGTGTGTTTGGTGCTGTTCTGAAAAAAAAGAAAGAATTAGATTTGTGTCCACTTTTACCTGCAGTGTGAACCTTTTTTATTTGATCAGATTTTAGGATTTAAGATTTCAGTGAACTGGTTATAGCTCCTCCCAGAAAAAATTAATACAGCAGTTTGGGTGAATTGATCCTTTATTATAGGGCGGGGAAATGTGGGGGGAAAACGCTCACTGCAAACAAAATCACAAATAAATATTATAAATTAAGATTTCTCCGCCAAATCCCTTTCTAGAACTTTTATTCTCCCCCCAACTTCCTGCTTTCAGTCTTCCCTCATGAACTGTAAGAGTAATGGCGCCTTTTTCTACTCAGTCCACATACATGACTACAGATGTACCACTTCCTTACAAAAAACAAAACAAAACATCAAACATTAGAGTGACCCTGTGTACTGCTTTCCACTACTTCAGGGAGGGGAGGGCGAGCCGGGGGAATCGATGGGATGCTGGGTAGAGTGGGTACAGTTACAGAACAGGGAGGTTAGAGTGAGAGGCAGAAAAAGGCTACAGGTTTCACAGGGGTTTTATTCATGATGTTATTCATTTGCCCTGGCCTGTTGGCCAGCAGTGATGGTATTCATTTACCTGGTTGGGAATTAGGTATATAATTTGTCCTGCATTCCCCCCGTTGCTATGGCCTGTACCATGGTTTGGTTCACTCGGCTGTGTGAGAGAAGCAGTTCAGTCTGGTTTAGACAATATAGAGACTGAGAACTTAACATGGGATTCATTAATTTGGGCCAAGTTCTATGTATAAATACGCCACAAAAACTAGGACCCAGCCTATTATGCAGAATTGTTACAAACACACATATGAATATTTAAGCTACCCCTCCCCCACGTATTAAACCTCACTACTGCAGGCGCTCAAAATGACAGGTGATCTCTGCGTTATGCTGGGCTCACATAAATCCACCTCCTACCTGTAGGCGGCACCATTGATCTCCGGGTGAACTTGAGGCTGCTGCTGCTCCATCATTCCCCAAGGCGCCGTGGTAACAAAGAACTCTTTGTTGACGCAGTTTCGGAGGCTCTCGGGAATACGACCTGTGTCGGGGCGAGATTGAGCTATGGTGAGCAGAGAAATGAGAAATTTGAGAGCGAGCGTGGGAATGTGTGCCATCTAAGACGTGTCGGTACCGGTTATGGCTCTGCGAATTTCTGTGGCAGCGGCCTCTCTCATCTCCAGCGATGCCTGCTCGCTGTACCAGGCAGTGTGGGGTGTGCAGATCAAGTTGGGGGCGTCTTTTAGCGGACCTTGGGAAAAACTGCTGAGCAGCAAATAAAGACAGAAACGGGGAAGTTAAATACAAGAGGAAGAAAACATTATTTCTATTGAACTGAACTTATAAACAAAGGATGATGCTGAAAGCACCTGAAAGGTTCTGACTCATGGACGTCCAAGGCGGCGCCCCGTATCCTTCCTTCTTTCAGGGCCTGAGCCAAAGCCTTCTCATCCACTAGACCCCCACGTGCACAGTTGACCAAGAAAGCACCTTGACGCATCTACACACAGAGCAGCGCAGCATTCAGTGTTCATCTCTCGATAAAAATGTCTCACTTCAACAAATAACAGCATGCGTGCTTTTGTGATGGCACACACAGAGGGCTGCTGTCACTGGCTCAATGCTGCACGGGAAGCAAAAACAAGGCTTCTGTTAATAATAAAACGGGACACGTAAATGACACCGATGCCTTCAAATTCAATTGCTTTTATGTGATGATTTCAGTTATTAAGGTAAAAAATCTACCTGGCTCCTATGTGAAAAAATTATTCCTGCAATCGAGTGTTTGTGATAACTGATATTGAGTCTTTCACATTGTTGTGGAGGAATTTTGGTCCACTCTTCTTTGCAGGATTGCTTTAATTCAGCCACATTGGAGGATTTTTGAACATCAACAGGCTTTTTAAAGTCATTCCAAAACACCTCAATCACATTTAAGTCTGGACTGTGACCCGGCCACTGCAAAACCAGTCAGAGTCTGACTTCCTGATGTGCTTCACATCACTGAACTTCTGCATAACCCAAGTGTGCATGAGCTGCAGGGCTTAAATTGATAGCTGGATATTCCACTTCAGGATTTTCTGGCAGAGGAAGGAATTCATGGTTCCACCTACTACAGCAAATCACCCAGGTCCTGAAGCAGCAAATCAGCCCCAGACCATCACACTACCACCACCATGTTTGACTGTTGCTATGATGGTTCTTTTATTGAGTGGGACTCAAACCTTTCAAAAAGGGATCATCAGGATGTTTGTTCGCAAGCATTCTTTTTGGTAAGCAGTGGCTTTCTCCTTGAAGTCTCCCATGGATGTCTTTTTTTTTGCCCAGTCTCTTTCTTATTGTTGAATCATGAACTCTGAGGCACACAATGCCTGCAGTTCTTTAGATGTTGTCCTGGGTTCTCTTCAAAATTATTCTTGCAGTAATTTAGGTAGGTTGACCACGCCTGGGAAGTTTCACCACTCTTCCAAATTTTCTCCATTTGTGGATAATGACTCTCTCTGCGGTTCGCTGGAGTTCTAAAGCCCTAGAAATGGCTTTTTAACCCTTTCCAGACTGCAAGATGTGGGAGCGAATGGTGGTGGAACATGATTCTGAGTTTTTATCTTTAGAGTGTGGCCCGAGTGAGAGTTTCTGCAGAGCATGGTGTGATGTGTGGGGTTTTGGATTTTTCTTTTAGATTTTTTCGCCTAATTCACTTGGTCAGACAGGTTCTATTTATGTGATTCTTGATTCAGCAGAACTGGCAGGAATCAGATGTGGGTGTGTCTAGTGAAAAGACTGGGGGTTGAGGGTGGAAATCATCACTTAAACACTGCTTTTCTGATTTACTAAGGAGAACTTTGTCTAATATTAAAATCTTTAAATGATCTGAACCATATAAATATGACAAATGTGCAAGTTGGCTGCATTCATGATAATGCTTAAGATCAAACAGCTCAATTTTTGTTTCTGTAAGATAAACACAAGTACTAATATGCGCTTCTGTACGTTTGCAGTACAGGTTAAGTTCTATAGGTGGCAGCAGTGACCAGGAAAAGACTGTAGAGACGCTTCTTGTATTCTTAGTGCTACAGAGACAAAAACTTGACAAGACATGTGTTATACTGCTAAAAAAGAGTTTATTAAATATATAAGAAAGTCAAGTTACTGTGTTCTATTTGGGTCAGAACTATTTAATTTCATTAGCATTTAAAAAATAAAAATATATTTTCTGTCCTATAAATGTACTGTATATGGTTTGTGAAAAACATGCACCAGACCAGACTTTGACTGCACATGCTCCTACACCCACATACTCACATATACTCTGGCAGTGTTTGGGAGACACTAGAAAGCTACAAAAGGACAGAAACAACATGGAAGAACAGCCTGATTATGTTAACACCCCCTGCCTACCACTTTACAGATGCAGATGGATCCGCATATTTGATTTGTCACAGATTTTTACGCCCCTTCCTGACACAGTCCTCCCAGAGATTTGTGCCTCCACCACCCACCACTCTAAAGAAAAAAAAAACTCAGAATCATGTTCCACCACCATCCACTCCCAAATATATAATCAGAATTCAGAGATTGTCCAAACACCTGTGTTTCTTTGCTTGATCCTAGCACTCATTAAAAGCTCGCTTTAACAGCCTGTTATTTTAAGTTGCCAACAAAGGAGCGCTGGCAGTCTAGATAAACCCAAGGCTGGCTGACTCGGCTGCTGGTCTGAAGCTGTCCTACCAGCCTCAAGGAGAAAGCGCTCCTGCCAAGGCGAGACAATCTCCCTTTACCTCATGTCAGAATTTCCCGGTCCCCCCACCTGTTTGATGGTGAAGTCGTTGATGAGGTGGTGGTTGTGTTCGTTCAGGTTGCAGTGCAGGGAGACGCAGTCGCTCTGGTAGAGCAGGTCCTGGAGAGTATAGACTCGCTGCACGCCCAGCGAGCGCTCCAAGCCGTCCTGGAGGTAGGGGTCGTAGAAGATCACGTTGAAGCCAAACGCCTTGGCCCGCATGGCCACTGCCTGGCCTGAACGACCTGAGGCGGCCACGAGAGGAGAAAGAGCATCAACTAACCTTACTGTTAATAGGTGTTAGTGAAATGTGTCGGCAGCTGCTTAATGTATTGACAGGAATTCAGGTCAGACATTAAAATATTATCATTAGCTTCTGCTATACTTTGTGTTCAGTGCCTATTATATAATATCAAACTCTGAAGGTGTCCTGATGGGTCATGCACAGGAGGAAGCAGATCCTTTAATCTGTGTAAGACGCACATTGTGGTGGGATCTGGGCAAGTTGTTCTATAAAATTATGCAGTGAGGCAGGGTGCACCTGCTAAAAGAAGCTAGTGTCCTTGGGGAATACACTAGCTATGAAGAAGTTTGGTACTGTTAGACAAATAGATAGTATGTGTCAAAGAACATCCACACAAATGCTGGAACTCGAGGTTTCCCAGTCGAACACTGCCCGGAGAATCACACTGACGTCTGTTCTCATCTCGGGTTAAGGTTCATCCAACCAGCCCGCCTTTCTTAAAGTTTGGGTGCTCATGTGTCTACTGAATTTGCTTTGGGCAGTGGATAGAGGACGACGTTCTCCAGTTATAGAGGGATATGTGTTTTTTTACTTCTCTTTCAGAGCCAACATGAAAGTTTTTCAGCATTTTTGCAGTTGTAACTAAATAATCATTGTTATTTACTTGACCTACAGAGCTTACCAAATGTATTAGACCAAAACTTAATGCAAGAATTGTTCCAAAGTTGCACTAACAGTACTGGTAATTACCAAAAATTATTTTGTAATGAATCTGTGATGAATAATCTATCAGTATGTCCAAGCTCTTTAATTAAAACGATATTTTTAAACCTAAAATATAATTGTCATTGTTATTTGTGAATATTCAATATGTATTTACATAAAAGTAGAAAAGTAGACTCTTTTTTTTTTAAAATAAGATGCCAAATAACAAATAACAGGTCTGATGTTATGCAGAGAATTGGATTCAGTTTGTTTTGTGGTTAAAAAATAACAATATAATTTTAAGTTTTAAACATGTTTTTGACAGATTTCGAAAATATTTGTGGTTTTTTTTTGACAGGTGGTCTGTATCATTGGTTTCAATGCTGTGGCTAATCATTCAATATGCACTTTTCAGCTCTGCACGCTTTCTGCAATAAAACCCAGAACAAGCAACTTACCAAATCCGATCAGGCCCAACGTCTCTCCTCGGATCCTGGCTGCTCCTGACGCCACCTCCCGGATCTGCTCCACGCTCTGGACCCGCGTGCCCTCCCGAAGAGCCTGGTACAGCCAGGTGTTTCGCCGGTACAGGTTAAGGATGTGACAAAGCGTCGAGTCTGCTGTTTCTTCTACGGCCGCTGAGGGAATATTACACACTGCAATGCCTGGACAAGAAGAGATAGCAATTTAGTCGACTACTGCTGTAACAATATTGCTTCACAGATTACTGTCACTGCTTTGGAGAGAGAGAGAGATCCATTTGCTAGTATTTTATTTTACGAAATAAATGGCAGGATATTTCTCCGTCTTTACGACTTACTACAGAATAAAATCCCGCTGTGTATAAAACTGAAATATGAATGATAAGAGGATCGTTCTAATTGCTAATTATGCCCACCAAAAGACTGGCAGCGTACTGAAATATAGGAGCGCAAATGACAATAATTAGGATATCACACAAATCCTGTTCTCATACCAAACATATGCCGACGGGGCCAAATGGGAATCACAGGGAGAGTTTGATATCAGTCGGAGCAGCTGCTCTGCATGTGAAATTAGCTCTGTTACATCTACTGTTTACAGTAAACTCCTGTACATATGTGTCGCGCAAACATCGCGAGCAGAGTTTGATTTGGTCCTCCTCCGCGATGCATATTTTCCACTTGATGAATCATCCTTTATGTTTTCTCTTTGTAGTGAATGAGCTAGCCACACAAGCAGATAGGCTCCTTCATTATTCACGCCGCGTGATTACGCTCCGCGCCTGAGCCGCCCTGCTCGCAACGCTCATCTTTCGTGTGCATCTGTCCCTCAGTCTCACCGAGCTCCCCGGCAGCCTTGATGTCGATGTTGTCGTAGCCGCTGCCGATGCGAATGATGATGCGCAGCGCCTTGAACTTCTCCAAGTCCTCTCTGGTCAGGGTGATGGTGTGGTACATCATGGCCCCTACGGCCTCATTCAGCACCTGGGGGACATCAGAGAGGATAAGGCCTCATCATCATCACTGCTTATGTCCACAGCCATTATTAGTTGAACATTTTCATCTGCATTTATATTGCTACCCCAATGTCATTACTGTTCTTAATCATCCTCAACCCGGCACTGATATTCAGATGGCTCTTCTGTAACAGCCAACATGAATATGCGTGCTCTCGCTACCTCCCATCTTCCCAAAGTTTATGTCCGCTATTCTTCATCTAAATGCAAATGGATTGTTTATATGTGCACTAAAATATGAGTGATTGCCTTTGTGTTTACTGTACAATGAGTGCTTGCCAAAGCTGGTTTTTGTCACAACACATCCATTCAAACTGTATGCAAACAAGGTTAGAATGGATGCAGGCAGGACAATAAAGTAGACTGACAGCTGCTGAGAAACCCACAAAGCATAAACAAGTAGATTCTGCAAGCCAAGGGCTGTTAAGTAACCGGTCTGAATTCACATCCTGCTAACTAAATTAACCCTAGCCGAGCCAGAACAGCGCAGCCGTGAATTTCCACAGAGCATTCACAGTGGAGCTATCTGAAGGAAGGGCTGGGTGCTAAACTCAAGGTTAAAGCTCTCCTCGTGCATCGCTCTCATTACTCGAGTAAAGCGGGCCAGCTGGAGAAGGACAAACAGGGATACAAGCTGAGTGTACATGAAGTGGAAACTGTGAGAAAAATTACGTTTTCTTTCTGTGGTATTCATGGCTGTTTAAAAAAGCGCCGCTCTGAGCTGATACATCACGTGCTCCTTCGCATTTCAACACAGCAAAGGATCGTGATTACTGCAATCCATTTCGATTTGTGTGGAGATTAAACTTGAAATATGTTTGCAGTTGTGTTTGAAAGGTGAGAAGAAGAATATTTCTGTTTTCAGTCTTTACACTAAACTAAGCCCAACATATCTCTCCTTTAGCAAATGAAAGCGTGTGCCACTTACAGTCATGTGAAAAAGAAACGGCACCCTCTTTCTGATACATAAGGTTTTATATATCAGGATACACTGACAAATCAGCTGGCCCATATCAGGTCTTAAAATTAGGTAAATATGTCACACATTTCAATCAGGTCATTGCAGAATCTTGATTATTTTCTATTTCAGCCATTTCAGGGATTGTTGTCCTGTTGCATGACCCAGTTTTAACACGATGGCCTCACAGAATCTAGAATACTTTTGTATAAGGAGGAGTTCATGGTTGACTCAAAGACTGCAAGGTGACCAGGACCCAAATCATCACCCCTCCACCACCATGCTTCACCGTTTGTACGAGTTATTTGTGCTGAAATTCAGTGCTTTGATTTGTTTTCTTTATAATTGGTACTGTGCATTGTAGTCAAACATCTCCACTGTGAACATTGTTCCAGACGTCTTGTGTTTTTTTTAAGATGAACTTTGCAAACCTAAGCCGTGCTCCTTTAGAGACAAGGGACTTTCTTCTGGCAACCCTTCCAAACAAGTTAGTTTCTGTGTAACACATCACGCACTGTTGCTCACACCAGGTTATATTTACCTAATTGCATGACCTACTCAAAACCAGATGACTTTTCATTCCTGTCCTAATCTGTAAAATCTTAGAACAGAGAGAGGGTGTAGTTCCTTTTTCACATGACCATAGCTTCTGAGGTGCCGGTAGGCTTATTGTTGGCTTTAAACCAACAAGCTAAGCTAAGTTAATCACCTGCAGCTGCTTCTAGCTCCAAAAGCCATTTCACTACAACAATGAAGCAAACTTCAATCAGTTATTTGACCACTTTCCTCTGCACTTTAAGCACCTTGTTATGCAATCACAGGCTTGGGGCTTCAGAGGAAAGTTTTGAATTTTGGACTTGGGGTTTGTTAAGTTTTTGTGTCGGAAAGGGAAAAAGGATTGCTGATCGGCAGCTAGTGTGAAGATGGAGTTGATGGAGGGATGAATGTAAAGAACAAATCAATTCACTTCAGTTTTACTTATATAGCTCCCAATCACAGCGGCAGTTGCCTCAAGATGCTTTATATTGTATGGTAAAGACCCTACAACAATACAGAGAACAGAGAAAATCTAAGACACATCAAGTCAAGCACAATCAATTTTTTAAATAATACATTTACTGCTCATATATTTTAAGACTATAGCTGAACATCTTTGTTTAATGCCCTACTTTTCCTAACACTTGTCAACCGAAAGCTTAAAAATACTAAATTAACTAACATTTCTCCAACATAAAATCATTTTCTCAATTATATCTGCAAAAGTGATCACTTTTCAATAGAATATCAGCTGCAGTTACTTTTATAATGACGTCAAAGACACTTTTAAAGCGCACCACTTTGTATCTTCAGAAATCCAAAGGATCTTCTTTGTCCTTTCAAGGACGGCACTGTTCCAGGGAATACGCCAGAAATACTTTCTAATAAATTCCTTTTAACGCGTGCTCGGCAGAAGACGAGGTGTTTTTTGCAGGCTTGCAGTTGCACATTGAGAGCTCAAGAGCTACAGTTTAGTACGGAGTCTTTAAGTGGAGCATAACTCAAACACTGCATCTGCTCACTTCCAGGCAGTCACAGAAAGAGACGGCAGCATGCTTGTGTTTGCACCCTAAGAGTTTGTTTATGTGCACGTGTGTGGACACTGCTTCGGCTCTTGTAGTGAGGTTGTCGGAGGGTGTGTGTGTGTTTGTGTGTTTAACCTCTGCTGCGCAGTTACAGTCATGGGACCGTTGCCAGCATCTATACTCCCAGGTGGATCCTCTGTGTGAGAAATGTATTCATAATGTCTTACTGGACGCTTTTGTGTGTCGTGTGTGTGTCTGTAAGGTGAAAATAAGGTGAAATATCAACCGTTTGGTTTCTTTTAAGCATAAACGTTTTCAACAAATTCAATCAGACCCATTTTTCATTACACATTTACAACAACTGAAATATGGTAGCATTTTCTCTGAAACTGACATGGCATGAATTGGAAGGCTTCCTTTCCTCTTTGTGAGCGTGAAGACACAAACCCTCCAGCTTGGACTGTAAAATTGCTGCTCGCTGGCTCCAGTGCATAGACAGTAAAATAAGACAAATGTTTCACCCACTCTGGCTGAGAACAATTATACTGCATTTCTATTACCAGCCGCCTCCTCCTCCTCCTCCTCGTCCTTATTTAACAAAGCAGCACTTCAGCACCCAGTGGGATTAGAGTCAGTGATGAAACCATTATAGCTGAACTGGGAGAGTGGAACAAGCCAGTGGGCTGAAATATTATTAAAACATTAGAGAGGAGGAGACGGAGAGGGAGGAAAGAGATGATTCTACTGCACTCGACTGAGAGCAAATATTTCAAGAAAAACATTAAAAGTCCACGCTGTGTCAGTATCACAGTCTGTGCTCCTGCAGATACTGCCACTGGGGCTTCTACAAGTGTTACAGCGAGGAGCATCACCTTGCAAGAAAACGTCAATAATTGGTCTGACATAAATCTAATATGTAGTGCATCTTAAAACTGTTAAATGTCAAAATATGGAAATTATGAGGAGGAAGAGTCAAATCTCTAAGGAAAGAAATGGAAAATGTTGGGCTTCTTTATTCAGTTAGAACATAATAATATAAAATACATTATAATATAATAATAATAGACACAATGGCCACTTAGGCCAGTGAGCGTGCCTTGCTAATACTGGATTTGATCCACTTTTGCCCTCAGAACTCCATTAATTCGGAATGGCACAGATTCGACAAGGTGTTGGGAAACCAAAGGTTCATGGCTTGTTTGAGCTCTGGTTATTGTCAAGTTCAAAAGGCCAGTTTGAGATGATTTGAAATTTGTGTAATGGGACTAACATGGCCAGCAACAGCAATACTCAGATACTATTGAGTACTGGTCCCAAAGTGTGCCAACACTATTGCATCCTGAAACACTGATACAAGGGAGGATGGCTCAATGCTTTCATCTTGTTTACAGTAAAATCCTACTATCCAAAAAGAAACTGAGACTCATCAGACCACGTGACATTTTTTCCAATCATCTACTGTCCTATTTTGTCGAGTCCGTGTGAACTACAGCCCCTGTTCCTGTTCTTAGCTTGCAGGAGTGGCACACGGTGTGGTCTTCTGCTGCTGCAGCCCATCTGCTTCGAGGCCATTCTCCTCTAACATCTGGAATCAACAAGACTTCGCCCAAAGAACTGCAGTTCACTGGATAGTTTTCGTATCAGAGCATTTTCTGTTAACCCTAGAGCTCGCCGTGTGGAAAAATCCCAGCGGATAACCAGTTTCTGAAATAGTCAGACTGGCACTAACAACTATGCCCCGTTCAAAGTCAATTAAATCCCCTCTGAAATCTGACGGTGTACCTTTTCATGTATCTCCTGCGTGGACTGAGCGTCACAGAAAGCCACGGTGGCCAGATCTTTGAGGATGGGCATCTCCACAGTGCAGTCGCGCCCATCCAGCAGCGCCACCAGAGGGCGCGGGTGCATAGGCCCGTTCATAATCTGGGGCCGAATACCTGCAGGGAGACAGAGAGGAGAAGGAGTTAATTATTTATGTTTGGCACACACCGTCAAATGAGCGAAGGAAGAAGCAGGAAAACGCAGGGAAATCCATGTCGCAGTGGGAAGTGCTGGACCGGTGTGTTTGTGGGCTGTGATATCAGTGGCACACACACACACACACACACGTGAGTGAGATCGATACACTTAAACTTGACTTTAAACCACTGTCATCATCTCCCTTACCTGGCAACACTGGTCGATATCACACACTCGCACCCACACACCAGCGATATGACTACCCCCCTGGTCTCTTGCTGTTATCCACACTGTTTCCAGGCAACAGGTCCTTTCACCCTGTGAGGTCATCACCTCCATTATCCTATCACCATACAGAACCCAGCAGGCCTTCACTGTGTGAATATCTGTACCTTCTGGACTCTGACAGCACTCTATCTGCAGTAATTCAATTTAAACTTGATGCTCCTCTCCAGGAGTTTGCAGCTGGTCACTGAGACACTATACAGTGGCCTGTTAGGGTAAAAAAAAGTGAGTGTTCTACTTTAAACACTTTCCTGAAAATCAATGCGATGATCTCTTCTTTGGGTGATCATAAAACAGCGCAGCTTCTATTAAGAAAAACAATCTCACAGTGTGGAGCCAAAGTCTGGTTAAAAGAGGGAAAAGGAGGGAAAAGAAAGGAGGAGGGGGGTCCACACACCATCACCACCACCACCACCACTCTCTGGCTCCCTGCTGCCTGTTGTCATGGTGATTAGAGGATTTGGGCAGGATTATGAAATATTTTATTTAGTGGCATCTGCGCTGGTGGTGAGGACGTCCAAGCCTGCTCGCGCTATGTCTGTCTCTCTAACTGCTCCATAGCAAGGACAGTGTTTGTGACCTCCACAACTACACCATGTTAACATATGCACTGCAGGCAGATCAGAAGAGAGTAATGTAAAGCAAAAAAAAAAAAAAAAAAAGGAAGACGTGCATGCAGCAGTATTTCTGCGCCAGCAGGCTTGTTTTTTTGGGGTTTTTTTATTCTGGATAGAAGACAGCCTTCTGAAATTGTATTTTCTTTTCTTTTAAGGACCTGGAGATAAATTTTCTCAGTCAGCTCGTTACTATGTTTGACACAAACCCAAACACTTCTGCAAAAGTTTAAATAGCCTGGGCATTTCTGTGCATTTTATTTTTTTGGGGGGTGGGGGGGTAACACTTCCTGCACGTGCAAAGAGTTGGGGGAAGCTCTCTATCAATGATATTGCATTTCTCTTGTTTTTTGGAATACATGGCAGCTTGGCAGCATCGCGGCTCATTGGTTAGCACTCTTGGCTCACAGCAAGAGGGTCCTAGTTTCAAAAGCAGGCAGGGCCCTTTTCTCTGGCAGCTCTGGTTTCTCTTGCAGAAATAAAACCAAACATACTTGTTTATTGCCACCGTTGTCAGGCCAGGCTGCTCTTACAAAAGAGATTCTTAATCTCCAGAATTTCAAGAAAAACCAAGAGTCCAATATTTATCTGTCGAGTTGAGTGTTCCCACTTTCATCTATGACTGGTGACCAGAAGAATAAGGCTGCGGATACAAGGGGCAGCAAATGAGCTTCCTCCAGAGGGTGGAGACTGATAAGGAGGAGTAGACCAAGATCCTCACCCAAAGGGAACCAGCTGCAGTGGTTCAGGCATTGGATAGGGCTGCCTACTGAACATCTCCTGGGTGAGGGATTTCAGGCAGTTCCCACTAGAAGAAGACTGTGGAGCAGAAGTAGTACACTTGGTAGACATTATGTCTCTCAGTCGGTTTGAGAAGGCCTCAGCATCTCAAGGGAAGAGCTGGAGGAAGCAGCTGGGTAGAGGGTGGGCTGGCGCTTAGTGTCCTGCCCCCAAGACCCAAGCCCGAATGAGTGGCAGAAAATGGACGGACAGATGGATGGATGGAGCTGTGTGTTTTGGCTGCTGCCATCTTGGATTTTTGAAAGGACAGATCTGAAGCATAAACTGTTTAATCATCTATTTGACTCCAACTGGGAAGATAATTACAAAAAATATTGTGAATAATAAGATGTGAAACCAGAGATTGAGACCATAAACTCACCAGGAAAGTGTTTAATGAGGTGATAAATGAAGTGAACATTAGCATCAGTTGCTTGCAAACTTTTATACACTCATATAAAGTCGCCCCCAGCTGGCCGTTAGACATTTCTACAGCGGCATCACTTTTCAGACCGCATGTTGTCAAGGTATGCAGTGCATATGCACACATGCAACAGGAGGAGTAACTCATGGGGAATTCAATGACTGCACACATGAGCTACTTTGAACTGCTCACAACAACATAGCATGTAGCTCAACATGTTTGGTTTGGGTTTTACACTGGATACCTTTCCTGACGCAACCCCGAAGGGATTTGTGACTCTGGCTGGAATCAAACTTGCAACCTTCTGCTTGCCAAGCAAATGTGCACGCAGTCTGTACACATAAAGCTACACAAAAAACCGAATAACAGGCTGTTGTTCTACATCCAACATCGAGAAATGGAAACTCTGGGTTAATTTAAAAAGGAGCTTTGCAGATTGTCGTCACCATCCCAGCTCTGGCTGTGATATTAGCTGACATACAAACACGTGCATGTATTTTTATGGGGTTATTTAATCGAATACTCTAGTTCTATTGCTCTGTTATACTCAGTGAAATGTCAAAATATGGGGCCAGGGAGTAAAACTGCAGTGAGGAAAAACTTGAGACTCTGTATCATCATATCTTTAAAATTTAACAGCTCAAGTGGATTGCCTATTTGTTGGATGGATTTGAAGACAAGACTGATTACTTTTAAAGCTCCGGATGGGCATTTAAAGGAGCAATACGCCAATCTTTCACCTCACAATTGTATGAAATCTTCTGCAACCCCGGAGGGAAACGAAAGTGTGTGACATTATTAACAGAAGGCATGAGTCACAAACTCAAGTAGCGGGGTATAAAAGAAGCGGAGTTCGCAGGGTGGCAGGGTTTAATGAAAGAGGCTGCAGAGTTGCATTATGGGAAAAGTTTCTCCATTGAGGCCTCTGTTGCTTTGATTTTAATAACGCTTTTCAAAATCTGTTTCTTCTGAGCTCTAACTCTATGAAAGCACAGCACACAGGCCTCCCCCGTGGCTCTGTTAGCGAGCTCAAACTAGCAGATTGATTATAATCTGTTAATAGCTGCTTGAAATTCACTTTTATAGACTTGTTTAGATGAAATGATACTCTGTTAGTTATTACTGCCATTGTTTTGCTGGTAATTTTTTTTATGTTATTGCTTTGGTTCCAAGTTTTATGTTTTGCTGAATTTATGAGTTTTACAACAGATATATGAGCCACTTTATAACTCAGCTTCATAAAATACTTTGGAGATAAAGAGACAGTTTTTATTATATTCTATTATATGACAGCCATTACTAATATTATTACTGTGCAGCGCTTTGGGGATATTATTGAAGCAATATTATTTGCAAATGTGTGCGGACAGTTGTGACTATTTCAGTCTGTATGTCTGTATCTGATTTGTGAATACAAGCAAAGATCTGTCTTCAGATTAAAACTGCATCACTTGAAATGTGTGCAATCACCAATAATATGTTTTGCTGATGTGTATACAACTTCAGAAAACTGTAAATGCAGTCAAAAAAATAATTAGAAAACTCTAACTAATTAGTATCAAGAGCAAATGATAATTATTAGTTTCCAGCAAAGACACTTATGTCGTCTTTCTATAGCCAGGGTTTTTATTTTACTTCACCTGCATTCTGCTTCCCTTGCGGTGAATCTACAGCCTGTGAAAGTGGTGGAAGTGTCTAGTGATTTAACCATAGTCCTGCTGGGCTGTAAAGGTAGATAGTATATCAGATTGTACTGGTCGCCAGGGAAAAGTGAGTATTCCCCAACTTGCTGCAGGTGAAATCAACTGCTAAAACTACAGACAAGTATGCTTTGACACCAGTCAGCAACTGTCCCCCTGGTAAGCACCATTTACTAAGGAAAAATGTGTATTCACAAACTAGTTGGCAGTTGCTTGCTGTCACTAGGTGAAATTGGTGCAAAGGAGTAAACAGTGCTTCACTGAAAACCTCTTTGTAATCGATTTGTTCACCAGCAGACTGCAGCGGTTGTTTGCATGGAAGACACCTACCAAAGCTAGCACAAGGAGATTTTTGGTGCAGCTCCCTCTTCATGACTGATTTTACACAGCGATTACCAGCAGCAACCACTCTGCCAACCAGTTCAGGGAATACATATATTCTTCCCTAGCGACCAGACATTCCCAGATAGATGCCATCTGGTCTGCAGGGTTTTGTGACTGAGGAAATTGGGGAACTGTGTTAGCAAAGGCTGCGATAGACTGTTTTGTCTCTCTTTTCTGCTCTTCTCGTCCTCTGACTCCTCATTGGTCAAGCATGGCAGTCCCTCCCTGGGAGTGGTTCTACTGGAGGTCCCTTCCTGTTCAAAAGGCGTTCTTCCTCCCCAGTGTCACCAAATGCTTGCTAACAGGGGATCATCTGACTTTTAGAGTTCTCTAGTTTACCTTACCTGTCGTAAACTGACAGTAGGTACTCTAAACTGAATAAATATCACATGCTCTTAGCAGGTGAGTCACTAGTTAATTCCTGATGGCCCCTCCATCTAGCTTTGCTGTCATAACTGAGGAGCATAGAAAATGTGAAAAAGTGTCTTTTGTTAGCCTTTGAAGCAAAGCATTCACAATTTTCACTCATAATAAAAAGACACACAAATGTTACACACACATTGAGAGGCTTGTCCACTTAAAATTCTCAGTACACAAAAAATGAATATATCTTTGGAAAGTCTCGCTCGTATTTAATATATATTATGTTTTACACCTCTATTAAGAATTCCTGCTGAAAGCAGTACTTGATACAAAGTCCTCAGAAGGTATAATCTGAAAAAAAGTGGCTTCACTGTGTTTCTTCAGAGTATAAGATGAAAGCTTTTATTATTCTCACCGGATGGACTCAT